TAATTGAATATTGTCTTCTTTAAAATTTCAACCAGAGTTAAGCAATTGTAATTTTCTTCCTTATGTCTTTTAGTGGAATTGTCCCTGCAATTTTACTGAGTAAATACATATTTTAAGTTACCTTGTCTTTCTGTTATAGAACGTTGATTACAAATCTTTATGTATGAGGGTAGGCGATGTTTTCTGTGAATCACATGTAATGTCACAAAGGAGGAGAGCTGGGTCTGGATGAAGAAGTGCAAATTGGGAGAAGTGGCCTCCTGACTGTGCAGTCACCTTTCAAGGAAGTCCCACTGAGAAGGCTGAACCTGCCTGCACCGAATCCTTTGCCTTAAATTCTTCTCAAAACAGGGAGGCACCTGTGGCTCAGTGAGTAGGGCGCTGGCCCCATATACCAAGGGTGGTGGGTTCTAAACCTGGCCCTGGCCAAACTGCAATAAAAAATAGCCAGCCATTGTGGCAGGTACCTGTAGTCCTAGCTATTTGGGAGGCTGTGGCAAGAGAATTGCCTAAGCCCAAGAGTTAGAAGTTGCTGTGAGCTGTGGCTGACTCCATGGCACTCTACCAAGGGTGACAAAGTGAGACTCCATCTCTCCAAAAAAAAAAAAATTTTTTTTTTCCCCAAAGCAAAAATACCAATGCTAAGGAGAAGTAGAGGCAAATTGTCATCCCACCTCTCACACACCTTTTCTTCTAAGGTAATTATAGCAATTAAGAAGCTAACACATCCTTAGTGAAGAATGTTTCAGAATTTCTTTGTAAGTAGTTGGGTGAGGTAATTTTTCCTTCCGAGATCCTAAAACCAGAGAGATTTTGGCTGAAGGCCCAAGTCCATATCCCTGCTGTAACAGGCCTCTGGCACGAGCCTCAGTCAGCGGGGGTGACCCACAGTGGTAGCCTTGTCACGTCCTCCAGTCTGTGTCCTGTGTCCACCAGCTGGGCAGTAATGACCGGGCTGTGAGACAGCATTTGTCAGCTGCACCCCTGTGGGGTTGGTCCCGCTGACCCGGCACTCTCCAAGCTCCATTTGCTGCACAGATCTTTCCTGAGGGCCTCTGGGCCTCGCTCCGGTGTGGGACCTGGACATGACAGATAAGACCCTGCTTGTGCTCCGTGGCAATCACATTTGCTGGGAGCCGAATTCTCTCTTGCTGTTGTTCCCAAGCTCAGTTGTAGAGAGGCAGGTGTTGCCAAGAGTTGGGAAGGGAAAGTAATTTAACACCACTTCACTCTCTCCCCCACGCAGAGGGCCTGAGTGCATGCATTTGTTCGGAGAAGTTGATTGCAAGGGCCTGCCTGGGCTAAGCCAATCTGGATGACGCCATCCCTTTTGCCCAGGCCTATTGCATGAGGCATTTTCGGACTCCAGTGGAAGTTTGTGTGCCAAGGAAGCAGGAAGAGCAGTGGTGGGAGAGGAGCCCCCGGAGTCTTCTGAGCACTCCTGTGGGAGAGAGGCTGTGCCCTGAATGGTATGCTGTCTATGTGGGTGTAAAGTGTGGAAGTGACAAGGCCTGTTTGTCCCCTGTTAAAGTCTGCTGTAGGGTGATTGGAGCCCTCCGAAGGGAGAGCAGGAAGATACCAGGTCTTCAGTGGTGTCACAGAGCCCCAGAATGGAATCAACCCTGAAGCCTCCCTCCTGTGGGCCTTCTAGGCTCACCAGCTGCTAAATCCCAATTGCCATTTAAGCTAATTTAGAATTAGGTTTTCGACACCTCACTCATTGCGACAGTAATGCTAATATTTGATCCTTAACTGTTGCAGGAAAATGAGGCCCCGGGGAGAGAGAGAGAGTACCCAAACACTGGGTTTGAAAGAGTAAGGGCTTTATTTCAGCCAGCAGAGCAACAGCACAGGAGAATTCAAAATGGCCAGCTCGCTGGCTCAGTCTTCTCCCTTTTATCCCAGTCATAAAGTTCCTGCCACAGGTACCTTTTTCATTGATCGGTTTGAATGAAGCTGGAGAAGCGGGCTCGGCTTTTACAGAATTGCAGGCTTTCACAGAAGCAGAGGCAAGCGTCAGCCTCCAGGTCCCAGGAAGTTAAGTTTCTACAGATTCCTAAGAGCTGAATCACCATGGTGGGGGTGGGGGGAACCTCGTAAGTGTGTCCTTGGGGTCTCCTTGAGAAGACCTCTGTTACCTTAGACCTTACTTTTTCCAGGTATCCTCTCTGATAACTTTGTGAGGCTGGTTATGTTGTTCCCTTAAATACAAAGTGAGCAACCACTTGTGATGGCTCCCACCTGTAATTTAGCACCCTGGGAAGCCGAGGTGGGAGGATTGGTGGAGGCCAGGAGTTCCAGACCAGCCTGAGCAAGAGAGAGAGACCCCAGTCTCCACTAAAAGTAGAAAAATTAGCTGGGCATGGTGTGGGCACGTGTAGTCCCAGCTGCTTGGGAGGCTGAGGCAGGATTGCCTGAGCCCAGGAGTTAGAGATTGCTGTGAGTTATGATGATGTCATGGTACTCTATCCAGAGTGACAGAGTACTCAAAACAAAACACAAAGTGAGGGAGCCTAAGCCTCTTTTTGTAAGGCTCAGGTGTTTCTAAGAAGATACACACACCCCTCTTGTCTGCCCCTCAGGGTGAGGATCCCAGCTAATAGTAGCTTTATTGAGAAATAGACACAACAGGAGCTTGAGATAATAACAGAAAAATACATAGGTCTGGACTAGGTGAATAAGCGACTTTGCTGAGTGTTCTTCTCTTTACAAACCTGTGGCTTGTTTTAAGATGTCATTTTGCTTGTATTAAGAGGCAACCTAATGCTAAAATCCCTCAGGAAGTTTTTGCATTCTCCTCTTACTTGGCCATGACTTATCTGCTGTTCTTACAGGGGGCAAGTTCAGGGTGGCGGCCTGGACTCTGCCTTCCACAGCGATTCACATCTGAAGGCCTGGGATTTTGTTTTGTGCACTTCAATTGGAGCCAGCTTTTTCCATCTGGGGACTTGATCCATCGCAGGTGTGGAATTAAAGGTGCTCAGGAAGTTGTGGGTCCAGGTGAGTTTTGTATTCAGAGTGTTCGGTAAAATGATATAAAATAAATAAGATGTTTAGACTTTAAGAACTCAGGCTGTAGAAAACAGATAAAAAAGAGGGTGAGATTGTCAGGTGGGATCTTCCACCGGAAGATGGGGAGAAATGAAGCATCATTCCCTAATGAAATCTAGATGTAAGCCCTGGGATGTGAGCCCTGGGCCAGGGACTGTGGGGAGGAGGGAGCTGGGCCTGGGGAGAGGGAAGCTCATTTCCTCTACCCACATCCCCTCCGGTATCATCTCCTTGTGGCTGTGCACGTTTTCTCTGGGCCTCTGCTTCTCATCAGGAAAAGTATGGTTGGGTCAGTGGTTCTCAAATGTTTTCTGGCTGTTCCTGGACCCCTCTCCCACCCACCCAGGCTCCCTAATAATTTCGAGAAGAAAGCCATATATAAATCATATAACAGTGGAATTGCTTTACTTGTAGGGGCGTTGTAGGGTGTCAAAGGCCTCCCTGAAACCCAGTGCTCACTGGAGCCTGCTGGTCTCAGGCCATCTTCAACTGTGACAGCTCGTGCGTTTCTAGGGGAGATGAGTTGCAGGGTAGCAAGGAAGTAGATTACACATGGGGGCAGTGGCCTCAAGGGGGCACAGTGCCAAGTTTCAGCGGAGGGGCATTCACAGTCCAGGGCAGCTCTGGGTCCCTTCCGCCTTCAGGCTTGTTTTGATTCCGCAGTCCCCAGTGTGTCCATGCCCTGGCTTCTTCCTATGCTCCATCGATTCCTGTCTTGGGATGAAACCCAAAACTGGCCTCTTTAAGTGGTAGGGGGAAGGAGCAGCAGGTCTCGGTTTTGTGGGAAAGCTTTCCTGTGATAATATAGTCCTTTTCAAACAATTTCTTGGGCTTGAGCATCCTGAATGTTAATTTTAACTCTGCCTGGCTGGATAGCTGGGTAGAGGTATCCCTTTGCCTTCTGGAGGAAGGGGTTCAGGACTCTAGCAGTGACTCCAAATGGGAGGTACATTTTCATCCTTCTTTGATGGGTTAATTGTGCTAAAAAGACCCTAAGGCCAGCCTACCTCTAAGATTTGGAAAGATGATTCATTAATTCTAGTAGTTATCACGTATTTTAAAAATTTTTTGAGATATAATTAACATCCATAAAATTCAGTTTTAAAGTGTACAGTTTAGTATTTCATAGTCTATTCATAAGATGGTACAACCATCACTCCTATCAAATTCCAGAATACTTTCATCACCCTAAAAGAAACCCTGTGTCCGCTAGCAGACACCCCTCATTCTGCCCTGACAATCATTAATCTACTTTCTCTACTCATTGCCTCTTCTAGACATTTCGTATAAATGGAATCACGTAATCCATAGGCCTTTGTGACTGGCTTTTTCATCTCACATAATGTTTCCAAGGTTCATCCAAGTTAGTGCATATATCACTACTTGAATATTTTTAGGGCTGAATGATATTCTCCTGTGTGGAATGCCAGTTAGTATTCATCAGTTGATGGGCATTTGGGTTGTTTCCATTCTCAGCTATCATAAATAATGCTGCTCTGAACCTTCATGGCTATGTTTTTGGTGAATATGTTTTCATTTCTCTTAAATATATATCTATGAGTGGGATTCCCGGGTCCTGGGGTAACTCTAAGTTTAACTTTCTGAGAAACTGCCAGACTATCTCCTGCAGCAGCTGCACCATTTCACGTTCCCACCAGCAATATCTGAGGCTTCTGTTTCCCCCATGTCTCCTTTAATGCATGTTATTGTCTTTTTTTTTTAAATACAGTCATCGTAGTGGGTCTGCAGTGGCATCTGTCTGTGGCTATCATGTCTTCTTAGAGTAAATATGCAAGCACACAAAAGTGAATTAAGAAAGAAGAATTTGTAGGCTGATGATGACAAATGGAAAAGGCCCTAATTAGCCCTCGTAAACGAGTGAATTCTGCCTTCAAAGTCAACCTCTCCTATTTGGGTGAAGTCCCCAAATATTAGATTTGTTCCATTGATTTTATTTCTATTCCATAAACATTTATTGAGCACACTCCACGTGCCAGGCACTGGGTTAGGGACTGAGATACAAACATGAGCAAGGCCAGCTCTGTCTCTGGGAGCTTACAATCTAACAGGAAAGTAAGACAAGGTCACAGTTGGCCACAGGGTGGGGCAGAGTGTGGCCAGAGGCCATCTGAGGGGTAAAGGGAGAACAGTGGAGGGTCAGAGGAGGGAGAAGTCCCCCTGCATGGACGTAGTAACATGGCCCTCCACCCGCAGAAATAAAACTCCCAGATTAACCAAGAGATGAGGTATGGCTTTTGAGTGCTTCATACTTTAAAATGTCAAAGGACCTGAGATTCCCAAAGGCTGCTGGTGCTGGGAATTCACAGCAGACAGCCGGTGTGAAGAGGCTCCATGGGCCCAGAATACAGTGGGTGATGGTTGACTTCTCATGTCCTGGGTCTCACAATGCCCCCAACGGGTCGCTGCCCTCGAGCTGCTGTTCATCAGAGTCCTGGAAGAGAGAGGGCGGTGAGATGCCCAGCAGGGCGCAGGGCTTGTTGACTCCTAAGGTGAACACTTCTGTGACCCCTGGTCAAGGCCTAAAACATGATTCTCCCTGAGTGCCCTGTGAACATGCATGAGGTGGGTGCGTTCACTCATCTTTTATGCTGCTGCCTCGTGTTGGAGGTGGGATGGTCCGGTGGGTAGGGCCACCTGGTCTCAGGGTGAGGGGGACTTCAGTCTCTGGAAGTGGGGTAGACCTGGACAAATCCTCCCAATTCTGCTGTAGTTTCCTTATCTACAAAGGGTCCTAACAATGAAGGGAGGTTTGAGGATTAAACAAAGCACTACGTTTACCAAGGTATAAGCCCTCCACAAAAGGTAGTGAAATTGTATTCTAAAAACTCCTTTCAGGTGGAAAATTCAACCTGAATGGGAGTGGCTCTTGTGCGTCTGAGATAGCATGGTCGGAAGCCTTCTGCTCCTTCAGCTCTGACCACCACCGAGGCTTTGTGAATTAGCATCACGGCTGCTAGAAATGGTTTCTCATAGGTGAAACTAGTGATGCTGAAGGTGTCTGCAGTGGCTACAAATATTGTATAAGTAAGTGCAAAAGGTACACAGATGAACCTCGTCACTGGGACCCTGGGCTTAGGATTCTTGTTACCAGAATACTTATTTTGGCTACCTGGCCTGAACAGAAAGTTTGGCTGACTCCTGTTCATTGGTTACTCCCTCACCTGCCTCAGGTGAATCTTTTGTGCATGGTGCTAATGGAGCCTCAGAAGGGGACAGATGGTTGGGTAGGCATGGGGTGCTTTGAAGAGGATGTATACATTCTCCCTGCTGCTTTTTAACAAAGTTGATCTCAACATTACAGCTTACAGAAATAAACTCCTTGAAGTAAATGCAACTTGGCTGAACTTACCCTTGAAATGTAGACTGGAAACTTTTATATGGTTAGGGAAAAGGCAAAATCTCATTTGTAATCTGGTTATTTTTCACTCTATTGTATATATATTAAATTTGCTATCCCAGGCAGGAAGAACCACAGATATTGGCTCGGCGCCTGTGGCTCAAGTGGCTAAGGCGCCAGCCATGTACACCTAAGGTGGCGGGTTCGAATCCAGCCCGGACCCGCCAAACAACAATGACGGCTGCAACCAAAAAATAGCTGGGCGTTGTGGCGGGTGCCTGTGGTCCCAGCTACTTGGGAGGCTGAGACAGGAGACTCGCTTGAGCCCAGGAGTTGGAGGTTGGTGTGAGCTGTGATGCCACGGCACTCTACCCAGGGGGAGAGCTTGAGGCTCGGTCTCAAAAAAAAAAAAAAAGAACCACAAGTATTTACCTTTGGTTGACTTAAGAAAAATAATAATGTCCATTGCACTATATAAGCTTAAACACAGTGCAAGAAAATGTTTTGGCAATGTTTGGTTGACTTCAGAAAAATAATAATATCTGTGGCACTGTAGAAGTTTAAACGTGGTATAAGAAAATGTTTGTAGTGTTTTAGTGCCAACTTACAAAAATTGAGTAACTGTAATACAGTCTTGGGGGAATACGTGCATGCCTGCTAAACAATTACAGCAGTTATCTGCCTCCAGCTGATATTCTAGGAGGGTTGTAGACCCACACAAGCCAGGATTGAAGTGTTTCCTTAGACCTGAAGAATGGTGTCAGCTCAGTCTGAGAGGTAAACAAACACTTAGCATACTGGCTGGCCATTTTTTTGATTGCTACATAAAAGGAAAAATTAAGTTCTATCCCTAGTTTTTCAACCCAGAATTAGTAATAAAGTGCAGGTGGCATGTATACATCCCCTGCCCATTCAGTGTGAATGGGGTGCCCTGCTAAGGGGATACTTCTGGGTTGAAGTCAGCGGAGGCCCCATCTAGCACTTTTTTTTTTAAAGGTTTTTTTTTTTTTTTGAGACAGAGTTTCATTCTGTGCCCTGGGTAGAGTACTGTAGCATTGGACAGTTTGAGCAACCTCAAACTCTTGGGCTCAAGCAATCCCCTGGACTCAGCCTTTGAGTAGCTGGGACTACAGGTGCCCACCACAACGCCCGGCTAGTTTTTCTATTTTTAGCAGAGATATCTTGCTCTTGCTCTGGCTGGTCTTGACCTCTTGAGCTCAGGGAATCCAGCCACCTCGGCCTTCTAGAGTGCTGGGATTACAGGCGTGAACCGCTGTTTCCCCCTAGAAGGACCCATGTAAGCTCAACGATCACTAACCCTAAAGAGAAATGGTCCCTTCGTGGAGGACCAGAGCCGGACATTCATCCCTAGCTACATAGCCACCACCATAGAAATGGAGCTCCAAAAGGAAGACGTGGCTCTGACGACAGACAGAAAAGTCTTGGGTGGCAATGCCAGGTGGTCTAAATTTAAAGAGTGACTAAAGGAAAACATGTTCATGGCCTTATGTCTTGCTTTACACCTGCTCCCTTCTACACGTCTCTGGCAGAATTCAGTCCAAGGCAGCCTTTCATTGTGACATCTCAGTGGGTCACGAGATTGAGGTAGGGCACCCTCTGGTCCTCCCCTATCCCTAACTGCTCAAGGATTCCACTGTCTACCCCAAAGAGCCCAGGAACCCTGGACACCACATCGACTCCAGCCAGCTTGCAAAGCTGGCGTCTAGGCTTGTTGCTTGAGACGTGTTCTAGAAGTGAGCTTTTCTGGGTGCAAAGCCCTCCCTGGAAATTTGCTGAAAGACATCATCGCCCTGTACCCCAACTGAATGCGTTCTTAGATAAGATGGCAAACTCACCACAAAAGGGTGATAGGAAGGTTCTGGGGGAGCTGAGGTGGTGCTCTCATACATGAGGTTCGAGATAGTCTCAGGCTTGTCAAGAGCTGTAATGTCCTCTTCCGACTGTTTGGAAAGACGAGTGTAAGGGCTGATGACCAAGGCAGGAGTGTCTTGTTCAAGGTGGCAGAGGTGACAGCTGGCTACCCTCTGCTGTCTTTTCTCTTTAACAGTTGTGGAGACACGACTTGCATGTAATAAAATGCACCAACCTTGAGGGACAGCTCAGTGACATCTGGAGCCCATCTACCCAGGTGTGACCACCCCTGAGGAAGAGCTCTGGTGCCCTTTGTCTGCCAGTGCCCCCTGCCACCCAGGGTAACCGCCGGTCTGACTCCTATCATCCTGGGGTGGGTGTTGGGGTGTTGCTTGTTCTTGAACTTAATAGACGGGGAATCATGAAGCATGTATACTTTTGCTAAAATGGTGTTTTTGAGCTTTGCCCCTGGAGCTTAGAAATACACAAGTTATCCGTTAGAGGGCTTGAGCTGCTGTTTGGGGGCGCTGCACAGCCTTTCCTGGCGTGTTGTGAGGAGCAGCAGGAGAAGGTGGGCAGGGAGGACAGAGTATGTGGAAGGATGCTCGGGGGCTGTGCTGCCGCCCAGCCTGGTTCCCAGGGTCACTGCCTGGCTGGCCAAGAGCTGCCACTGACCCAGATGGGGACTCAGTAGTTTACAAAGAGAGGAATGAGTTCCACTGGCTTCAGTATTAAGCCTCAAGCTGTGCAGATGCTCAACCCTGTCCCTTAACTCGAGAAAAATCATGGTGGACACCTGTCTTAGGGAGCCTCCCAGGTGAATACGCCTCCCAGGGGAAACCCTCGGCACAGAGGCTTGACGTCTGGGCTTTTGGCAGCCCCTCACCCGCGTCTCCAAATCCTCAGTCATGAGAGGGGCTGGGAGCTGCCACTGCTGCTCCTCCCAGAGGCAGAGACCCCACTCAGGAGGCAGGAAGGGTGGGTGTGGCGGCGGCTGCCCCTGCTGCTGTGCCAAGTGCCAACTCCCGGGGGAGGTCCTTGAACCAGACAGTGACTTGGAGTAGCTAGATCAGGGGCTGGATTTTGGAGGGAACCCCATCATCATGGTCCTGTTTTTCTCTCTCTTACCTCAAAATGCTGGAAACGAATTGGTGTCTGGTTTCGCCGAAAGTAATAAACAGAGTAAGCAATGACTCCAATTGCCAGGGTGACGACAAAGCCCATCCCTATCGTCAGGCTGGTGTGGGTCGAAGTCTGAACATAGAAAGGGAAAGGGCTGACTCTTAAAACTGGCGATTCCCCCCAAAGAGGCACACCTCCTGGTCTGAGAGATCTGGGAGCCAGTGGGAGAAAAATAGCGATACACAAACATTTACATGGCCCTTACTGCTGTCAGGGTCTCTTCTAAGTGCCTTCCTTGAAATAACCCACTTAAGTGTTAATGATAACTCAAAGAGATAGGGACAGTTGTTATAGTTCCTATTTTTATTTGGGAGAATTGGAGCACAGAGAGGTTCAGAACTTTCCCAATATCACACAGCCAATTAGTGGGAAAAGTGGGCTTTGAACCTAGTTGGCCTTTGGAGCTTAACCACTATGCTATGGAACTTTCCAGCAACCCAGCAGCTCTATCCTCCCTCCTGATTTGGGGAAAAAGAATACTAACAACAACAACAACAATCAACTTCTAATCTAATACCATGTGCTTTATGCCAGGGACTGTTCTAAGTATTTTCTTATTAACTTATAGTCTTTTCCAAACCTCAGGGAGGGAGGTAATATGAGCTCCATTTTACAGATGAGAACACTGGGGCCCAGAGACACTACGAAGTGGAGGGCCCGAGCCAGAGTTTAGGATTTATCACCCTGGCCCCCCAGTGGTCCCTCTACCAGCCCATCCTTCCCCTTTCAGATCCCAATGGTGACAAGAGCTGTGCTCCAAATGTCTGGGAGTGGGGCTGAGCAGGGCTGGGCATCCCAGAGCCGGCTGCCTTGGATGTGGGAGGTTCCTCCAGGCCCCAGAGGAAGGAGGCAGTGGACAGGGCTCCCGGCAACACTTTGCCTTTTGGGGATGGACACCAGTCTCCTCCTGGCCCCTTCCCAGGTACCCTGGATACTCACCACTGGGACAGGGGGTGCTTTTAAAGGCCTGGAAATTACATGAATGATTCCATTGGAGGCAAAGATGTCCCACTGCAGGATGGCTCTTCCATCAACGAACCTGGTCTCCTTCTAGGGAAATGAGAAGAAGGCGACAAGGGTCTCTGGCCATCTGGCTTTTTCTCCCCGTGCTCTGTGGATAGTTGTTCACCTCCCCAGGGCCCAGGCTTCAGGCCTGTCTTCACTGATAGGCAGCCTGGGATGGCTGCTTATCATCTGGACAGCCCAGAACATGTTAGTTGTCCTTGTAAGGGACAATTGGCTGATCTAAGCACTATAGAGAACCTTGGGAGTCCTGTCCCACCCATTTTGTCTGACACACAAGTGATCAGGACAATGGCTTGTCCAAGACCAGCCTGGTGGTCTCCCGTGATCTGGTCTCCAGAGCCTCTGCTCTGAACGTCACACCACAATTTTAGAAAAGGGATTGTTTAAGTGGTCAACTCCCAGTGTGATCCTCTGGCTTGTTGTGTGGGCAGAAGCTGAAGCCCCACACCCCGCCTGAGGAATCACAGTCTGCATTTCAACAGATCTCCCAGTGATCCAATGCGCATGTAGGTCTGAGGAGTGCGAGTCTAAACTATGGCTCCTCCATAATAAATATTCCTTATTGGTTAAAAATTCAAAAAACAACACTCATTTAGCACTTGCTACATGTCAGCATCATTCTCTGCATGCCATGAACCTTGAATCATGGAGTCCCCAAAGGCTGTGATTTAGACATCATGGTTGTCACTGCTGCTGGCACTGTCATCATTAATATACCACCACCAGCACCATCACCATCAGTATCATCAGCATAATGATTACATCATCACCACCATCATTGTTACACCATCATCACTGAAGGGGTTCAGAACATGCAACCCCAAATATGCCATTTTGGCATATTAATTATTTTGAGCCAAAGGCATCTGAGAAACAGAAGATGCAGGGGGGGCTCTTTCCCTTCCTCCTTTCTACCTAAAAGTAGGCATACATTTTTTTTTTTTTTTTTTTGAGATAGAGTCTCAAGCTGTTGCCCTCAGTAGAGTGCTATAGCATCACAGCTCACAGCAACCTCTAACTCTTGGGCTTAAGTGATTCTCCTGCCTCAGCCTCCCAAGTAGCTGGGACTACAGGTGCCCACCATGACACCTGGCTATTTTTTTTGATTGCAGTTGTCATTGTCGTTTAGCAGGCCCAGGCCAGGCTCGAACCCGCCAGCCTCGGTGGATGCCCTACTAACTGAGGTATGGGGCACCGAGCCAGGCATACAATTTCTTATGAGAAAGGTGCCCTCTGTGTTCCAGAAGAGAAGAACATTCTTATCATTGGAGACTAGGAGTCGGTGCCAAAATGGACCTGTGCAACTCACTCTACTACCATGATCCTTAACTTCCACTGGTCTCCATCATCTATTTCCTGGTCACTGTTTAATAATTTGCTGCCCTTAGTCTAAACACCTTTGTTTTGTCACTTCCCTACAAATTTATCATTTTTTAATTTAAAGATATATAGTATATAAGCTTTTGGTCCTAACTGCCTCTTTGGGTCTTCCTTGTCCATCTGAGGACTCCTTTGTGCACATGGAAGATTAAATGCAGTGTGTCTGCGTTTCCCCTGTGCATCTGCCTTATGTCAGTTTAATTCTCAGGCCCACTGCAAACCTTTCTAAGAGGGTAGAAAGACATCATTACTGGTACAAAACAGTGATGATGAACAACTCCCCTGCCATCGTCACCACTGACACCATCGACATCATCCCCATTTTTCAGATAGACACAGGAAAGTTGGGTAACTTGCCTAAATTCTTACACCTAGCAAGTAGCAGACTTGGACCTCACACCAAGGTCATTTCACTTCAAAGCTCATGATAATTCCTGGATAGACTGACAAGTGGGTAGAAGCACAGGTGGGAAGATCAGACAGCTATTAAGTCATGTCCTTTATCACTTGTCATCACCAGTTTCTGAGGTAGGTCTCTCTCCCAAGGGGTAGGGTTTGCCTAATTGTCAGTGTGCTATACTGTGTGGTTAATACTGCCCCCTATCTGCAGGTTTAGAGTTTTATTTTCATATTGTAATAATTGCTATCTATGAGGCACTTGCTGTATGCCAAGAACTTTTCAGCCGTTATCTCTTGTTCTCCCAGTAGGCCCAGAGACTTTTCATACCAGATGAAGAGGGTCCTGGCTGGAGGTGATGAGCAGCTGGCTTCCCAGCCTAGTGTGCAGGGTGGTACCATTGACAAGGTCGTTGTAAAAAAACATGCTGACATTGGCAAGGTGGTGTTCAATGTCCCGCCCGGACAGGGTCTGAGAGAAAGGAGGAATTCAAGAGTGGTCTTTCAAAGCCAAGCAATATTTTGTCTTTTTCTTTTTTGCTTACTAAAAGAAAGACAATTTTTCATCTTTTTAAGGATAAGGATGTCAGAGAAAAGTGATCACATCTCATGGCCTTGGCTTTTGCTGTATCCAGGTCAAGAATAGGGAATAGCAAGTTTTTCTCAGGCTTTGGTTGTTGGGACTTTGCCAGCGGCTCACCTATAGTTAGGGATTATACTAAATAATTGGGATTGTCTAAAGTAGAGTTTCTTAGTGGTATCCTGGGAAGAGATGGTCTTGAATGGGTAACAGGTGGGTAGGAGTGCTGCTCCTCTTAGCAGGTGGCTGGGTGGGGCTGTCAGAGCCCACAGGTCAGCCATCTTGTGGGTGGACTGAATAAATGCCACCAATTCCTCATGTCATGTGTGCACGATGTGAGGAAGGTTGGCATGGCAGACTGACAGCATCAGTGCTGGTTCTCACCCCTCCACCCCATATCCTTACCCTTTGCTATATAACTCTGAGTGCCTCCCACCCTGACTTTGGGCTCAGCCATGTCACCTGTTACACGTTAGTAACTGTGACCACACAGAAGCTTGAGAAACACTGGGTAGGACAGGGCTTACTCTGGCCACTCTCGCTCCCCACTAGCACTCTGAGAACATGCTCCAGCTGGCCTGCTGGAGGATGACAGCCCGGTGGAACAGAGCCACAGCTGGCCAGCCAGCACTTTAATAGCTGGTCTCAGACCGGAGAACAGCAAGATAGAAGTGACAGCTAATTAACAGGAGGGTTGGCTAAATAAATGTGTAACCACTGAGTATTGGGGTGATTTGCTACACAGCATTATTGTGGTGATAAGTAACAAGAGACACTCTAACGTGCAGGCACCCAGGACCCGACTCACCTCATTTTCTCCCAGCCCACTGTTCTGTGGCACAAAGAGGGTGCTGCGGATGGACAGGTCGGTCAGGTGATCCAGAAATGCCCGGCCTCTGGCTGAGCTGTTGGAATAGGCCAGCACCTCCTGGGGAGAGGAAGGAAGTCATCAGACGGGCTGGCCCTGGCGTGCGTGGACTGGCAGGGCATCACCCGTCTAGTGATGTTCCTGTTGTCAGCCCCTGATCAAGCTGTAGCTCCTTTGCTTTGTCTTCTGACTGCCCCTCCAGAGAGCTCTAGGAGGATTTTTCCTTCCTCAATGAATCCTGTGGTGTAAGACACAGCCACATCACAGACCATCCTCAACACGGCAGCCTGCGAGGTCCATTGAAACCTGGGTCAAATCATGAGTCTCCTCTTCCTAAAGCCCTGAACGGGTCCTGCTTCACTCAGAGGAAGAAAGTCTTCCTAGTGGCCTGTGAGGCTCAACGGGGCCTGTTGCTCTCTGAGCTGTGCCCAGCTGTCCTCTCTCGCCCACTCTGGTCCAGCCCCCTGGCTTCTTGCTGTTTCTCAGACTCACCTGGCTCACTCTTTTGCCTGGTGTTCCTTCTGCCTGGAAAGTTCTTCCCCTCTGTCTGCCCAGCTTATTCTCCCCTGGTGTTTACACTCCGTTCACATGTCACCTTCTCCTGACGCTGCCCCTCATCACTCAGAACAGCACCCTGGGCCATCTCCTATGGCTCACCCTGACCCCTGACCCCTGACCCCTGACCACTTTTGCTTTTCCATAGGACCTGTCACCTTCTAGCATTCACTACTATTTACTTGTTTGTTCTATTTCTTGTTTGTTTGCCAATTTTTTGTTCACTGACATATCTCAAGCACACAGTAAGTGCTCAATAAATAGTCACTGAACAGAATTCAGGAAGTTGCTTCACCCACTGTCACTTAGTCATTGCATGGGCAGCACTGCTGAGGTCCAGGGAAGGGAAGCGATTTGCTGAAGGGTCCGGTTCTGACACCGACTTTTTCTGAATGCTGTTGCAAGGCAAGTTCCTGTGCAGCAGAACCACTGGTGTGGATGTTTAGCTTCAGTATTAATGGTGGCCCTGAGTTTTAGAACAGTGAGACTGATGCCTTTGGTTTCTGGGCAAAGGCTCACCATTTTGGGGTCCTTGGTCTAGCGCTTGTGTGGATCCTGCAAGCCCTATACTCATGCCCAGTTCCCCTCTCCTTGGGAGGTCACTGGTTGTCAGTACTGCTGGGCACAGTGGCCCAGTCACTGGCTGCCCCTGTTCCCACCGTAAAGGATGAGGGGGAGTCTGGCCCCAGGCAGGCTAGGTTTGAGTCCAGCTCTAGGGTGTTAGACTATATCCTTGATCTTGCTAAGCCTCAGTTCCTTCATCTAAAAAATGGAGATATAGGGCCGGACCCAGTGGCTCATGCTTGTAATCCTAGTACTCTGGGAAGCCGAGGTGGGTGGAATGCCTGAGCTCATGGGTTCAAAAACAGCCTGAGCAAGAGCGAGACCCTGTCTCTAAAAATAGCTGTGCATTGTGGTGGGCACCTGTAGTCCCAGCTACTAGGGAGGCTGAGGCAAGAGAGTCACTTGAGCCCTAGAGTTTGAGGTTGCTATGAGCTATGATGCGATTGCACTATACCGAGGGCAACAAAGTAAGACTCTGTCTCAAAAAAAAGGAAATATTAGAAGAAGTAACCTCATGAGGTTGCATGACAATTTATTCCTTCTAACAAGTACTTCTTGGGCATCTAGCCTGTGCCAACTACTGTCTGAAGTGTCCTGGAGATAATCCTCATCAAGGCCGAGGAAGTCCTTTCCCTTTTGGGGCTCACATTCTGTGGGCTGAGGAAATGTCCTTGCTCAGTGCAGTGCTCTGTACAAAGTGAATGCTCAAGAAATATTAGCTGTTGTCCTTGTCGTCATTATTATTAGCTTAGCTCTTTGATCAGTCAACACCAAATCTTCTGCCACAGGGAAGTTTCTTTTTACTGGACATGACTTGCCGAATATTGGTGTGACTTTTGCAGTGCGAAATGCAATTGGGCTCCAGGTTGCTTTGGCTCGGTGGGTGATCACTAGGGTAGATGTACTGTGCCCACACTGCTCCGGAGGGAAAAGTGTGTCTTATCCCTGCAGATCAGACCCTTAAACTGTTTAGATGCAGACCGAGGTAATAATACCAGCTAACATCAATATGGAATTTCCCATCCACTGGCCACAGGTCTAAATGCTTCACAGATAATCAGTTATTTAATTATCACAGTGACTCTAGGAAGGTGTTGCTACCATCATCTCCATTTTACAGATGAGGAAACTGAGGCCCAGAAAGGACAGTAACTCATTTAAAGTCATGTAGTAAGTGAGTGGCAAACCCAAGCTTCACATGCAGGCAAGGTGGTACAGGGCCTATACCTTCTTTCAGGGATTCCCCCTCTCCATTATTTGCTTTGAGGCAGCCCCTCCCTGCCCACGGAGAAACCAAGCAGACGTGACACTGACCTTCAGGAAGTCTGTGAGTGAGGGGAAGGACATCAGGACCTGCAGCAGGTTCCCACTGCATGAGAAGCCGTCTCCCACATAGCCCACTTTACAGGTGCAGTTCACATCTGGAGGGCAGAGCACACAGGGTCCCCCCGCCCCGTGAGGCTGGGGCCTGGCTCCCCGGCTCCCCCTTGGCAAGTGGCTGCCAGGGTGTGGGTTGCTCAGTAGCCGCACGGCCTAGAACGTGAAGGGGAGCTGGGGCAGTTACCTTTTATCCGATAGCAGAAGACATCCCACATTTCACTCTTGTTGGCTCTGATTCCATAGTCCACTATCCCAACAACACCCGACCCACACTTCTGGGAGGCAAAGGCGGTAGGGTAGGCAACCCGCCCGCTCTCCAGCCAGCCTGCTGAACAGAGGTGGTACTTGGCCTGCAGAGACACAGACATGGCCAGGGATCAGTTGCAATTTCATATCTGCTGTAGGATCACTTGGTTAATGTCTGATTACCTCATCAAAGCATAAGCTCCACGTAATCAGGCTCATCTTGCTGGTGAGACCCCTGTGTCCGGCACATAGTAGACGGGTATTGAATTTTTATTGACTGTGCCACTGGGTGAATGACAGTGGTACCCCTTCTTTCTTAAGGATGGCTGAACTCTTCACAATTCTCTGTGCTCTTGAGAAAGGACTTGCTAACAGTCATTTACCCCAGGTGCAAATCCATCTGCTCACTGGGTCGATAGAACTCTAATCCGTCATCATCATTATGATCATGACCTTCATCATTACATCATCATCACCACCATCATTATCATAGTCACCACCATTATCATTGTCGTCACCACCATCATCATTGTAACATTTATTGAGGGCTTTTCTGGGCTAGGTTCTCTGGCAAGAGTTTTTCATATGTCGATACCTTTACCCCTCAATTCTAGGGGGGGAAGTTTTTAAAATTCTTATCATATAATTGAGAGAACAAGTAACTTGTTCAAAGCCACATAGGTAGCAAGTAGCAGAGCTGGGATTCAAACCCAGGCAGTCTGCTCCAGATCTCTTAATAATCTTAAAAATTGAGTCCCTTCTATGTGGCACACTACAGTTAGTCCTTACACACACATGCCAGGTGGGACGGGGTTTCAGTGGCTTGATCAAGGTCACACAACCAGCAAACAGGACAACAGAGATTCAGCTCCTCTAAGATGCCAGGTCAAGTTTTTGTTCCTTGGTAAAGAAATATCAGGTATGAAGAAAAATGGATTTAGGAGTGATGGGGAAGCAGAGCAAGGGCCTTAAAATCATACCCTGTGGGCGTTCACCTCCTCTGCTCCCAGTGAGAAATCACCAGTTTGGAACTCCAAGGCACTGGCTTTTCCAAATGGCAGGGCTTCTGGTTTTAGAGGCTAAGGGAGCAGCCCTGAGCAGAGAGCTCCACTGCCTTCCTGCTGTGGCTCTGAGCTTTTGTGATTCCCATTCACTCCCTTCACAGTCACAGCAGCCACAGAGAGCTCCCGTGAGTCCAGAGCAACTTGGCTCCTTTGTGGGTGTAGAGAAATCTTATCAAGGCTAGTGGTTAGTGATCTCTTTCTGGTTTCCAGCTGCGAGACATGTGCCTTGCGCCTCTGTCTCTGCCTTGGCAGTTGAGTGTCATGACTGAGAATAGATTTGTGGAGTCAGGGCTACATTTGAATGCTGGATCTGCCACCTCTCAGCTGGGCGATATCAGGCACTTTAGAAGTAAAGGTTAAGACCTTTCTGAGCTTCTTTTCCCCTATCTGTAAAATGGGAATAGTGACACCTACCTGCAGGGATGTTGAAAGGATGAATAGTAATGTCAACAAAGCACCCTGCACGGTGCCTGGCATATAGTAGATGCCTGATAAATGGACATGATGGTTGTTATTACTGCTCCAGGAGCTTCCTGAACTCCTCTCCAAGAAGGCAACAGTCCATGTCTTCCTTAACTTAGGAAGAGGCTGAATTCCTCCCCTGCAGACTCTGCCTGACAGTGTCTGCTAGCTGGGAACCCACCTTCTGGGCATAGGAGAGCTGGTTGTATGTTGCTACGGTTGCAGCTTCCTTGGCACAGGCCTCCCTGGCTTTGTCAAAGGTCAGCTTGTACTGGCCCAGTGGGGAGCGTAGATGGAACACTCCTACAGTGGCATCTAGAGAGGAAGGAAAGGAATCGCCCAGTTCAGCCCACCTGGTGGCAGTGTTTCCAGCAAAGGACTTTCAAGGTAGAAGGCCAGCTGTACCCCAGGGTGTCTTTGGAAGCCACTTCCCCTTCAAGTTATGTTGAATAAAATCATTTAAAATATTTGCTTCTTTTCTTATGATAAAAGTAGCATGTGTTCATTGTAGAAATCAGGGCAATACAGAAAAGTAAAAAAAGAAATAAGCAAAAATCACCTTTAATCCTACTCTCTGGAAATAATCATTATTCCATGGCTAACATTTTGGTGTATGTCTTTCCAGAATTTTTACTTTTTTGACTTTTTATTTTGACAAAATTTCACATTAGTTTGGTCTGTTTCCTATTCATTTATATGTTATATCTATTATAACTGTGGTAACATACTGCAGATAGAGTTTTCAGAAATCTTTTAAAAACTTAACATGAAATTGTGGGCAGGGTGTAGTGTAATCAGGCCTGTAATCCTGGCACTTTGAGAGGCCAAGGTGGGAGGATTGCTTGAGGTCAGGAGTTCAAGATCAGCCTGACCAACATAATGAGACCCATCTCTTCCAGGAAGAGATAGAAAATACAGTAGAACTTCCATAGTTGACCACCTCCTTAAGTTGACCATCTCCTTAATTTTCACTGACCACATATGCACCCCATGTACTCAATGGAAGTTCCTTATGTTGACCACCTCCATAGGTTAACCAGTCTGTTACAATCCCTTGGGTAGTCAATGTACAGAGGTTCTACTGTACACAAGCAGGGAAAATACATGGGATATTGTCTCTTCTTACAAAGAATTTCCCAGAAGGGTTGAGAAACTTTTTTAACTGAATGAGACAAGAAAAAGAAAGTTATCAGGAAGAAGACCAATTTATCTCATGCTGATGGTGTAGCTGAGATAGAGCAGGAACGGTCAGAGAACTGAAAGCAGAGAGTTGAAACAGATGCTTGGATACCAATATTCATAGCTGTATTACTGGCCATGGCCAAAAGAAAGAAGCAACCAAACTTTCCACCAACAAATGAATGGCTACAATGGAACATTATTCAGACCTGAAGAGGAATGAAGTTCTTACATGTAGTACAAGATGGATGAACCTTGAAAATGTTAAATAAAATAAGCCAGACCCAAAGGGGCAGATATTATAGGACTGTACATATCCGAGGCACCAGGAATAGGCAGATTCATAGAGACGGAAAGTAGAATAAAGATGACCAGAGCCTAGGGAAGGGGAGAATGGGAAGTTATTGTTTAGTGGGTATAGAATTTCTGTTTGGGATAATGGAAGCATATTAAAAATGATAAGTGGTAAGAGCTACACAATATTGTAAATATACTTAATGCCACTGAGTAGTAGTATCAAAATGGTCAAAAGGTAAATTTTCATGTTAGGCCTATCTTATCACAATAAAAAAATATTTAAAAAATAGAGAGGCTGGGCACAGTGGCTCATGCCTGTGATCCTAGCACTCTGAGAGGTCGAGGTGGGAGGTCACTTAACCTCAGGAGTTAGAGACCACCCTGCCACCATCGGTCAGTGTTTAGCATGCTGGCCCCACATAGCAGGGGTGGTGGGTTCCTACGCCTCATAAACAAGAAAACAAAAAATTCTAAGAGACTATCCTGAGTAACATAGTGAGACCTCATCTCTACAAAATATAGAAAAATTAGCTGAGCATGGTAGTATATGCTTGTGGTCCCAGCTACTTGGGAGGCTGAGGCAGGAGGATTGCTTGAGCCTAGGAGTTTGAGGTTGCTGTGAGCTATGATCATGCCACTGCCCTCAGACCCAGGCAACAAAGCAAGACCCCGTCTCAAAATAAATAAATAAATAGTCCCAGAAGGGAAAGAGCATTACATGAGATGAGGGAGGGAATCTTCAGAGAAGCCTAGGGCTATGGAGACCCGGCAGAGGCTTGAACTGGGCTGAATACAGAGGAGCTGGCAAAGCCCTCCTGCTAGGGTGGACCATGGGCAGGAGAGATTTATCAGGGGTCAACAAAGAAAGACATGGCCATGTATCACCTGCGCCTCTGCACTTCTGCGTGGCTTTTACTTGTGTGTTAGGATTCTTAGTTTTATTACGCCTGTGAGTTTATCCCAAGCCCTGCTAACCATGCTTGGCAGTAAATGGGGTACATGCCCATCAGTATGTTGCTGCCGAAACCACTGCTAAGAAAATGCTTCTGCCAACAGCCGGCCTATCTTTGTTATTTAATGCCCTAAGCTCTGCTTCTTAGAATCAATTCTAAGAAGGATCCAACAATACAAAGACAGAGTCCCCGCTTTCCTGGAGCTTACGTCTGAGTTGCGGGAGAGGATGCCAGAATCCTTTCCCACTTAGTGAGTGTTACTAAGCAACTCGGGAAATGTGAGAATTAGGAAAATTCATCGTAGACAGCCATGAGCTCTCTCCTGGTTCCAATGGCTCAAGGCTCAATGCTGAGCTTCTCTGCCCCTCTGCTACAGAGGCCCGCTGCCTCCACCGGGCGTGGGCGGCGCTGTTCGGTTTGTTGTTTTTCTTCTTCCCCTCCCACAGATCCCTTCCCAAGCCTGAAGACAGGGTGCTTTGGGCCAGAAACCCCTGGTCCCATGACCTTGGAAGTGGAGGTCAGCACAGTCGGCGTCTGCATGGCACTGCCCGTTGTCCTGTAAGCATCTGTCGATCGGCAGCTGCTCCGGCTCACAGTCCAGCCCGTCTCCCACGTAGTGATTTTTACACGCACACCGGTGCTTGCCCTGTGGGCGAGGATGGGAAAGGATGAAAAGCCCCTTTCTGGGGTTCCCAGAATCCCAAGTGCCCTGGGGGTCATGGTCTAGCACGGGGGACTGAGACGATGTGCCTTTCCAGTCTGGTGGGGATGAAATCACTGTGAGGTTTTGTCTTTACAGAGGCCCATAATAAAATGTCATTCTTACAGCTCAGTTCAAATGTCCCTTCCTTAGAGACCCTCCCTGATCACCCTACATAAAGTAACTTTTCCAGGCTCTTCTATGCCATCGGCTTGATTTATGTTCTTCACATACAGCTCTTTGTGCTCTCAGAAAGGATTCTGGCATCCTCTCCCGCAACTTGGATGTAAGCTCCAGGAAAGCGGGGACTGTCTTTATGTTGTCGTATCCTTGGGACTGGCAATAGTGCATAGCAGGCGCTAGATGACCACTGGCTGAATCAATGAATGATTAGTTTCCACAATCACCCGATGATGTCTGCTTTAATTAGAAAGCCCACTTTATAAATGAGGAAACCAAGGCTCAGAGAGAGGAAGTTGCTAGCCTTAGGCCAGGCGTCCTCAAACTACAGCTTGCGGGCCACATGCTGCCCCCGCCTAGGACATTTATCTGGCCCATCGGGTGTTTTTGCCACCACTGCCTGTCCTGCTTAACAGCTGACTCGTCCCGGGGCCCACAGTCTGGCCCTCCAACGGTCTGAAGGACAGTGAACTGCCCCCGTTTAAAAAGTTTGAGGACCCCTGCTGGCCATGCAGCTTCTAAGTCTAGGAGCTTAGACTCAAAGGGGGCTTGATTCTAAGACCAGGTTTATAACAATTAACAGACATTATCCTGCGCCATCTTTTCTTCCCAATGGATAAAGAGGGCATGGAGCCCACCCTAGAAAGACTGAGTGAGGACCCTAACCTGCACTTTCCTTACCAACTTTTTTTTGTGTTAATAAACTTTTTATTTAAAATAATTTTTAGATGGATAGAAAACTTGCTAAGGTAGCATTGAGAAACTTCCCCGGATGTTAACATCTTACATAACCACAACACATTTGCCAGAATGAAGAGATGAATTTGGCACATAACTATTAACTAAATGGAAGACTTTTTGTGGATTGTGCCAATTTCGCTCATGTCCTTCTCCTGCCCAACGTACCACCTTGCATTTAGCCCACTGACGCTGCACAAGAAACAGACTGGGTGGGAAGAAAGTTTAGAGAGAGGCTGAGTGATAACTGGAGCCCCAGAGGAAGAGCGGCAAGGCTGAGAGAGTACAGGGGGTCTGTTTCCAGATTTCCACAGGGGAGGCTGACTCACCGGGCCTGTCATCTTGCAGGTGGCATGCTCATGACACCCCCCATTGAGGCCGTCCGCACAGGGATCTATCTCTGTGCAGATATGGCCGTCCCCTGTATAGCCCTTCTGGCAGCTGCAGGACACTTTTACGCCCTTCTGTGAACACTTGGCAGCCTTCGCACAGCCCCCGTTGTTCTGACTGCAGAAATCCACCACTGTAAGAGCCGGGAGAGAGGGCTCAGCTGGCCTCCATCCGTGTAACTGGAGCCGCAGCTCAGCAGCATGGGGTGCCACCTCCCTCCCTATCCTGTGGCCCCCACACAGACCTCTGCAAAACTAAGATTTTTGCAACACCCTCCTAGACCAGCTCTGATCACATCTGTTCACTTCTGGCTCTTCTGTCACATATCTCTGGGTCCCACTTGGTTTTCAGAAGGAGTGGAATTTTTAATGTTAGACAGAGTGTGTTTGTGTGTCTGCGTGCACGTGCAACATGTGTACAAGTGTAGAGTTAGCATGATATTGAGCACCTCGTGAGACCTTGTCACCTCTGTTCTACTCAGAGAGCTTAACTGACCTGACACAAGTATGACAGACAGAATGCAGCCGGGCTGAGATTCAAATCCACGTTGGTTTTGAAAAAGCCAACCCAAGATATCCCCACTGTATGATTGCCTCTTGGAGACTTTGTTTTCACAATCCCCCAAATTTCAACCCAATAATAGATCAGCTTTACCCTCAGGAGTGGCTGGACAGCTGTCCAGTTTCCCCTGCCCATGTCTATGCATAGAGTTGTGGCAACCACTTGAGATCCTGGGACAATAAATGTAAGGACAAAAAGCCTCACCCCGGGATGGCAGGATAGCAAGAGGGAGCACGGGTCTCTGCTGCCACTGTTGAGTGCTGACCCACTTCTGAAATGCCTTGTAGCAGATTACAAACCAGCAGGAATAGTTAGAGCTAATTTGTATAAAGAAAGTATATATATATATTTCTGTATGAGTATTTATTCCTGAAAAATGTTAGAAAGTACACGTGGTTGAGATTGCTAACTTTCCCCTAATACCTATTCTCTCCTTTTCTACAGTAACAGATTTCTAGGTTATCCAACAAGGGACTACATATTCCCCTGCAGCCAGGTGTGCCCCAGGATGAGGTTCCAGACAATGGGATGGGAGGAGATATGGTTTTAGCAACTTCTAGGTTGTTTTCTTAAAGGGAAAGAGGTTTGCCTCCTTTCTCTCCTTCCATCCTGCTGCCTGGGATGTGCTTATGATCCTGGCCATCTCAGGCCAGGCAAGTGAGCAAGGCAGAGCAACAAGATAGAAGGAGTGTGGGCCCCCAGATGACCTTTCAGAATGGAAATCTTTGTTAGCCCTGGATGCCTCCCTCCCAACTGTTATTGGAGATAGAGAGTTATTAGCGAAACCTCTGCTTGTGTTATGTCATTGTTCATTTGTGTCTCTGTGTGTCTGCACCTATATCCAACTGCTGCTGTGTTTACAGAGGTCCTCTTCAAATGTTAAGAATATTTTTTAAAAATACTGTAGTGTAGTGTATTTTCTAAGTTTTTTGAAGTAAGATTTGATTACTTGCACAGTAGAAACACTATTTTTAAAAAGTGCATTTCAGTTTGCAAAGGAATTTTAATACCATGACCTGAGAAGTGAGCAGGTCAACCATGAGCAAACCCATCAGGGAAATTGAGTCATAGAGAGGATAGCTACTGCTGAAGTGGCCCAGTCAGGAAGTAGGAGAGCCACGATGGAGCCCAGGCACCGAGACCTAGTCCTGCACCACAGTGCTATTTCACATGGGCATGAAGGGGACTCACCTGTGCACGTGATTCCATCCCCTTCGTAATTCAGGTCACACTCACATGTGTTGTTCTCCTTACAGGTGGCATGAGCAGAGCAAGGGGGTGTGCACACAGGAGGTAGAACTGCAAGGAAAGGGGCCACTGTTCATCCTGCACCCCCGGTGTGAACAGTGGGGACCCACTGCAGGAGATTTCCCAAGATGTGTTTATGGCAGGAGGTGGGGTCATTTGCCAAGGTCCCAGCCAGCCTGGAGATGCTGAGGATCTAGTATTGCTCCTTTACACTAAGACTGTATCTCTGCAACATTATCCAGATCAAAATGTGAATGTGTTACCCTGAGGGGTAACCGATTAAAGCCTGATGCCTCAAAATTTGCTAGCAGGGATGAACTTTGTAGATTAGCTCTCTGGCCCTAAGGACATGGGGTTCCAGATGGAGATGGTTTGATTGGGGGGGAAGTCCATGGCTTTCTAAGGGCACTGTGGGAGCTTTGGTGAGTGGATGGGCTGCAGGGTGCACAGGTAGTAAGAAGTCATGGGGGGGCTAGGGGAGGAGGCGGGAGGAAGGGGAGGAGGATGTACTGTGGGGATTCCTGAAACTTCAGGTTGCTAAAACTCGTAAGGAGAACCTTGTCCTGCCCTCTGACCCCAGGGAAGATGAGGCGACAGTGATCCACATTGGATAGTTTATCCTTCACGCCTTATACCTTCCAGAACATGGAGCTTTGGTTTAGGGGGAGCTCGGAACATAGGCTGTTTAGTAAGGATCAGGATATGACAATGAGGATGATGATGGCAACGAGACCTGTAGCTGCTGTTTTGAACGCCCCAAACACTATGCACCTCTTTTTATGGTAAGTACAACACAGCTCAGAGAGGGTAGCTTATCTAAGGCTGGGCATCTAGTAAGCAGCAGAAGCAGGGGTCAGACCCTGGTCTCGGGACCCCACTCAGCCTCTGTGGACATATCTGGGCTAGAGAACCACTGTGAAGAGGTGCTGTCCTCATCTGAGCATGGGATTCTGTGGTTGAGGTGGGGTGTTCTCTAAAAGCACTGGAGGACATGCTGGTTTTATAAGTTTGAGTTGAATCTTTTCTGTTTTTTCTTTGAGACTGAGTGTCACTATGTCACCCTCAGTAGAGTACTATGGTGTCATAGCTCACAGCAACCTCAAACTCTTGGGCTTAAGTCAGGGGTCCTCAAACTTTTTAAACAGGGGGCCAGTTCACTGTCCCTCAGACCGTTGGAGGGGCAGACTGCGGGTCCAGGGACATGTTGGCTGCTAAGCAGGACAGGCAGCAGCGGCAAAAACACCCAGCGTTCCAGATAAATGTCCTAGGCAGGCTGCATGTGGCCCATGGGCTATAGTTTGAGGATGCCTGGCTTAAGTGATTCTCTTGCCTCAGTCTCCCAGTAGCTGGGACTACAAGTGCTTACCACAATGCCCAGCTATTTTTTTGTTGCAGTTGTCATTGTTGTTTAGCAGGCCCTGCCAGCCTCAGTGTATGTGGCCAGTGCCTACTCACTGAGCTACGGGTGCTGAGCCACCCAGTTTTCTTATAAGTTGCCAACTTCCTGAGGCCCGGGGCCACAGGTCCAAATCATCTTTGGCATGTGGAACCAAGAACCCCTGCTTTGTCATTTTTTAAAAATGTCACTCAGACCCCCAACTTCACTTAGGCGCTCTTGGAAGGGGGTCTGCTATGACCCAATGCTGTCAGCAGCTGGCCACTCCCAGAACAGACCTGCCTGAGTGTTGCAGAAGGGGCCTGTCCACCCTGTTTCACAGAGGCACTGCCCAGAGCCTGTGATTCCATCATCACACTGTCCATGTTCTGAGCAGCTACAGGCTGTAAGGCAAAGTAGAGTGTGGTCAGTGATGGGGGATCAGGGATTAGAATCCAACCACCACCCTGCTGACCGCCTGCTGACCGTCCATTTTCAGTGTGGGAGGCACTGTGCTTATGCCAGGGTCATTCATGCATTCATAATTAATTTACAAAATTAACTTATTCATGGGTTAGCCCAGGATGGGCACTGCTAAGCTATGAAGTTACAAGAGAAGGTCCCTGTTCTCACGGGGCTTGCAGTCTGGGGTTCACCCACTGTTGAATGTGTAATTATGAATGTGATGAATATTACAATCCCAGCAGAGTATCGTGGGAGGCTGTAATAGAATATATGGGGACAGAATCTCATGGAGGGCCTTCTGGTGGAGAAATCTGATTAAAAGTAAAAATGACAAATTATGCACCAACTCTATCATTTCTTGTCCCCTCTAGCACTATCGTGCTAGCCTGAGACACCACAGATTTTGCCTAGATTATTGTGTCACCTTCCCCAAAGGGGCCCTGGTCTGTGCCTGCTCCCCTGCAGTGTACCCTCCACAGGGCAGCTGCAGTGATCCTTTTAATCTGTTCATGATATTCCTCCACCCACAGTCCCCCACTGGCCTTCTGTCACACTTAGAATAGATGCTAAAGACCTTTTCCTAGAAGCGAAGTTCCTATGTGTTTCTGGGCCCTGGTGACTTTCATATTTCACTCCTTTTCTCCCTTCCTCTTCCTTGCCCACTCTGGTTGGCTGCCCTCCTCCCTGCTGTTTCTTACATGCCTGGCCTGATCCAGCCTCAGGGCCTTTGCACATGCTCATCTCTCTTCCAGGAAAGCTAATCTGGTCTGTGCTGTTCAGTACAGTGGCCACTAGCTACATGTGGCTATTTAAACTAATTCAACTTAAAAGTTCGGTTCCTGCTGATAGCCAACATGGCTAGTGGCCATGACATTGGACAGTAGAGTCATGGAACCTTTCCAGCATTACTGAGAGTTTGCTGGGCCGGCTCTTGATAACTGTACGCCTGGCTCCTCACACCTGTTAGGTCTCCACTCACGTCCTCTGAAACAGTCTCCTTCCACTTTTAACCCTGTTACCTTCTTCTCTGTTTTTAAACCCTTTACAACTACTTTTTAAAATTTTTGTTTCTATTAGCTTTTTGAAAGCTGAGATTCTTGTGCCCCCTCCCCCAAATCACATATCCTTAAACCTTAGAATGATTCCTGGATGTCGAGCAAATCACTTAACCTCTTTGTGACTTGGTTATTTCATCCGTGGATATAATGGTACCTACCTCAAAGGGCTTTTACCAGGATTCAATGGTAAAACATATGTGCCCAGCACATAGTAGGTGCTTGATAAAATGTTAGCTATTGGTATTAGGAAGGACTCTCTAAAGCTGAGCTGGTTGAATGACTGAATGACCGAACTAATGACTATTGTTCAGCCACAGATTGCCTTGGGGCCAGCCCAGGATGTGTCACTTCTAGGAATATAGGAAAGGGGGGAAAAGGCGTTTAGGGCAGACAGGTGGAAGGTGGGTGGAGGGGTGCTCCAGGTCAGGTGGACGGCGTGGATGAGGACAGGGAGCTAGACAACAGGCGACACCCCTGGGAAGCAGCACCACGTACGCTGACAGTCAGGCCCGAATCTGCCCGGCCAGCACAGCTCGCACGCCGTCCCGTTGAAGCCAGTGTTGCATTTACATTTCCCCAGGGCTGAGTACTGATCGAGGCAGACACCCTGGTTGTTGCATGGGGTATCCGGTCCTCCGGGGCAGGCTGAAAGAGATGAAACAGGAGCAGCTGGACAGTCTCCTGGGCCCAGAGCAGCTCAGTGCCTTTGCAAACATGCTGAGGATTCTGACTCTAGTTACCCAGAGGGACTGTGGGCCTGGGTGTGTCACCTGATATTTAAGGCTAGACATGGACCTAGGAGATGGGAACTTGGATGTATCCGATATGACTCCACCTTGGCAAGGTGGTATATTGAACTGTGCAGTGTATTTGAGCATCAGGAGACTTGGATTTGAGTAGATCTGGGCTGACAGATGAACTTGCTCTGAGCTTTAAGTTTCTTAGCTCTAAATGGTGGCGATGAAGAAGATGATGATATAAATAATAATACAGTGCCTGCTTGCCCTGTAACAGACTGTTATTGTGAGGATCAAATAAATTACTATAGCTAAGAGCATTCTGAGAGTATGAAGCACTAACTGATGTAAGGGCTGACACAGGTTTTTATGAATGGCCCACACTTTCATGATGGAGGGTGGGGCAGGGTGATTGCATGGTCTCTGAACCCAGAGGGTGCTCTAGAGACTACAGCAACTGGAGCAGGCATGCTGGTAACAGTGATGGCCTCTGGAGACAGACCGTGGGACCCTGGGCTTGCTTCTTGTCCTCTGTGCCTCTGCTTTCTCATATAAAGTGGGGACACCAATGGAACCATCTCCCTAGGGGTCATTTCCTGGATTAAATGTATTGCTATCTATGGGAAGGAACAATAAATGTGCCTCTTTAGAACAACGTGTGGCAGCTGGGAAGTGCCCTGTAGGCACTTGTTATGCTTCTGCTATTGATGTGTTATTGGCTAGAAGTTGTGTCCAACAGGGGCTCAGGATGGGCCCGAATGCCCTTTGGCAAAGAGCCTTTTCCTGGTCAGGAGGTCATGGAGGTGGGACAATACGACATGTCCTGTGTCAGGGGGCCCTCAGGAAATTAGGGCCCACAGGTGCTGTGTCAGCATATCACCTGCCAAAGGAGAATCGTACCAAAGGCATTTAAACAGACCTCCCTGGACTCAGAGAAGAACTAATCATGCTTATCAGCGTCACAGACGTTGTATAGCTTCAATAATGGAATACAGCATCTTTGGCACCATGGGAATAGCTTGTGTTCTGATGCTAAGCCAAAATGTAGACACAATTACAATGCACCTAGTAGAACCTCAATTCAGTAAAAAAGAGAAAAATACCCAAATATGCCAAATGCACAAAGTGGAAGGAATGCCATGGAACTCTTCAGAGTGGTTGTGGGGCCTGGGGATCACCGGTAGCAGGGTTTACCCCATTTCTTTGTCATGTTGATATTTTCAAATGCCAAACAGTGAGCACACAGTCCCCTGACAGTCACAGGCAGAAAGGGGAGCCCTCACCCTGACAGTTGGGCCCGAAGTAGCCCTTGCAGCACCCGGGGATCCGCAGCACCAGGCTGCACTGCTGCTGGCAGCCCTCCAGGTTCCTCTTGAAGGACAGGTGGTAAACACACTTCTGCTTCATGCCCTGAGGGAAGAAAGCAGACCATTCCTCCGCCTTCTGGCCTAGGGCACTGGGCTCTGGGTCTCCAGTCCACCTCCCAGGAGATGATCCTGGGTACTGCCCAAGGCGAAAATGGGACTTCCAATGGGAACCAGTGATTTTTAAAAATACATTTCTTTTAAAATCAATATTTTGTCTTAGGGGTGTCCCTAGGCCAATGGTGGAAGTACAGGGATGGGGAGGAGGCAGAGCTAGAGTCCACAGGAAGATTTTTCCCCAGACTCAAGAGGAAGAACTAAAGAACTTTCTGACCTCTATGGTGGTTTGCAAATGGTGTGGCTGCCTGGGGAGGGGGAAGGGGAGGGAGAGCTTCCTATCATGCGTAGCAGGGAGCGTATGAATTACATTTCCTTTCATTATTGGTTTTGCTAGTGGAGTAGGAAGAGCTTGACTTTGGAATAAGTAATAAAAACCAATATTTAATGAAGGCTTACTATATGCCAGGCACTTAAGCATACTCACAGTTTGAAATTTACTCTTCCTAATAGCTGCTTACTGGATTGTCATTAGCTCCATTTTACAGAGCAAAACACACAGATCATGTGACTCGACAAAGGTTACTGGAATTTAACCCCGTTATCTGTGGACTCCAAATTTCACTGTCTTAGCCATCCCTCTACATTGCTTTATGGACTTTAATCTGAGCCTTGCTCCATTACAAGCTGTGTGGCCTTGGGCTGATGGCTTGTCCTCTCTGAGATTCATTTTCTTTCATAAGCACAGGTAATAATAGCTTCCTACAAGCATTGTAAGGAGGAACAGGGACAATGAATATACAAAGGGGCTCAGCCTGGGGCATGGATAATAGCTAACAAAATGTAGCTATTACATTAGAACTGTATCTTTGAAGTCCCAGGCAATTCCTAAGAGATGGGTAGTAGGTTGACGGATTGCCTGGGCTGAGAATGTCCTTCTCTCACTTCTTTGGCTTGGTTGTTGAAAGATTGACATAAATTACATTCATGAAACACATTCAAAGATACACCTACAGACCTCCACCCCCCACAACACACACCCTTGCATACACTAGAAGATAGAAGACTCATGAAACAAATTTATGGCTCTGCAAACTTTATCGCTGCATTCTGAATTACCTTTGGTTTACTCCACCCTGGGCAGCTGGGGGTATTAATACAGCTCCCACAATTGCCCTAGTATGTAAGAAAAGAAACACTTAAGAATCACAGAAAAACACAGAAAAATATCTCTGATATTTATACCTAGATGGATTGATTAAGGACTTAATTAATCTTGATTAAGATTCTGGGTATGACCAAGAATTTCTGAACAACTTTGCCGTGGAGAATTCTGAAGGTCAGTCTTGGACCTCAGCACTTTGATTCAGTCACACAGAGCTGGACCAAGGCAGCATCATTCAGGCACATGGAAATGTAGATGCAAGTGTTAGTTCCATTTTATGTTACCTAGGATACTTTTGGCCAATCATTAATACTCTTTGATTCTCAGTTTTATGATCTATAAAATAAAGATGATAATTCTTGCTGTTGGGTGGCGCCCGTGGCTCAATGGGTAGGGCGCTGGCCACATACACTGAGGCTGGCAGTTCGAACCCGGTCTGGGTCAGCTAAAACAACAATGACAACTTCAATAACAACAAAAATAGCCTGGCATTGTGGCAGGCACCTGTAGTCCCAGCTACTTGGGAGGCTGAGGCAAGAGAGTCACTTAAGCCCAAGAGTTGGAGAAGTTGCTGTGAGCTGTGACACCACAGCATTGTACCCAGGCCGACAGCTTGAGACTTTGTCTTAAAAAAAAAAAAAAATTCTTGCTGCTATTTGATCTTTAGGGAATTGGTAAGGGAAAATGATTAGCTGAAAAAAAAAGTGTGTAAATGTAATTAGAAATTAAGACTGTCACACGTTCATAGCAGAAAGGACAATTGGTTGCCTTTACTTTGGCTGAATGGTATCCAAAATACTTGGGGTATTTGTTGAATGGCTAGGAGATGCCAGGTACTGATACCAACTAGTTGCCATGTAAAGTTACCTCACCTCTTTCAGACTCATTTCTCAAATTTATGTAGTAGAGTTAAGGATGACTATTCCCAATAATGGATTATTCTAGGGGTAAACTGAGCACTGAGCTAAGTGGTTGAAAGGTGTCTCAGTCAAGGTGCTAGATGAGTGAGTGAACGTGAAAATGCCTGGAATAGACGTTCAATTAATGTTGTCAAATGAATGAATAGGCAAATGAATGGAGGTGTGGTTGGCATATTAGATTGACCATGCGAAATTGCCATTTTTAGGGCGGCACCTGTGGCTCAGTGGGTAGGGCGCTGGCCCCATATACTGAGGGTGGCAGGTTCGAACCCAGCCCCAGCCAAACTGCAACAACAACAAAAACAAAAATAGCCAGGCGTTGTGGCAGGGGCCTGCAGTCCCAGCTACTCGGGAGGCTGAGGCAAGAGAATCGCCTAAGCCCAGGAGTTGGAGGTTGCTGTGAGCTGTGATACCACAGCACTCTACTAAGGGTGATAGAGTGAGACTCTGTCTCAAAAAGAAAAAAAAAAAAAAAAGAAATTGCTATTTTTACAGGCCCCAAACTGTCAAATATGGCAATTTCATATGGTTTAATCTGGCAGAAGCTCAACAAATGTTTGTCGAGTGAATGAGCGAGTGACCGACTGAATGGTTAGATGTAAAATGAATGGCAGAACAGCTGGCACACAGTTGGCATCCAAAACTGTTTCCCAATGACAAGGGAATATATGGGCGGGCGGGTGGGTAGATAAAAAGAATATTCCAGGCCAGTAGGGTTAACTAGATGCTTGTTGATTTTGAATCTGAAGAACTCCATCCTTTGGCCCTCACATCTCCTGGCCTTCAGTGGCTTCACAACAGGCTCCACACTGGATCACAGGGGCCATTCTTTGGTTCTCTTATTACAGTATTATTTTTAGGACTGACCGAAACATCGAAAGCACTGTAGACGTCACAGCGGCCCCCCAGGGTGGGATCCATCAGCAGACAGTCAATGCCATAGGCCACACCCAGGTCAAACAAGAGCTCCCGCTGCACAATTCTGCATGTTTGGCCATTGAGAAAGAGCTCTCCCTGGGAAAGAGAGAGAAGGAAGAGTGGGGTGATTAGAAAGAGACAGAGAGAGAGAGAATAGTCATTCCCTCTCTGGCCATAAATTGTAGCCAGCACCTGCAAGATTCAGAGAGAACTGGAAAAAAAAATTCAGTAGAACCTGCATAGTTGATCACTTCCCTACATTGACCACCTCCTTGGTCAATTCACCTAATTGACCTAATTCACCTAATTTTTGTAGACCAGACACACATTACACGTATATATCAGTATGGCAGACCTAGTTCCTTATGCTGACCACCTCTGTATATTGACCAGTGTGTTACAGTCCCTTGGGTGGTCAACTTACAGAGGTTCTACCGTATCCAGCCACGTAGTTTAAAAAGCAGAGATGTGTGTGGCCGTATACTTTCCGGACAGCCCTTGTCTGCGTCTCTCTCTCTCTCTCTCAAGTACTCAGCATATATTTTGTGCCAGGCATTTATTCTGAGTGCTTCGACCTGCACAACTTATTTTAATCCTCACAACAACTCTAGAAGGTAGCTACTATGATTAGTACCCATTTTCAGATGAGGAAACTGAGGCAGCGAGAAGTTAAATGACTTGTCTAGTAACTGGTGGTGTGGGCAGTCGCCCTCGGAGCCTTGAACAAAGGAGAAGTGTCAGCAGGCGGGTGATGGGGTGGAGTAGGATGACCTCGCCCTGGTTCAGGATAAACTGTGGATGTGGCCACTTGTGTGAAGTAGCTGAGTTTTCTTACTTAGGATCAGCACTTAGCAAAGTGGCTGGTTCAGTTTCTTTCCAGGATATATGAGCGACGTATTTGAATTTTATAATGAGAACTTCTTTTTAACATGTACCAGGAATTATCTAAAGCAGGCTTTAGATACATTACAGGCAGTCTCCAAGTTACAAACACTTGACTTACTTACAACTCATACTCATAAATGGAGGACATCATAGTAAGTCCCTGACTTACAAGCATCAGACTGATGTATGACTCATACTTACGAATAGAAGCCATTACAGGTAATAAGTAAACATACCTGTCCCAACTTACATAGAAATTCGACTTAAGAACAAACCTACAGAACTCATCTCTTGCTTGCAACAGGGCTTCCTTCCTGAGATCACCCTGCTAGTAAGTTCATGGATATAGTCTTTCCCCAAGAGAAGAAAATGCTTTTAGAAAGTTCTGTGAGGGCTCAGCGCCTATGGCTCAAGCGGCTAAGGCACCAGCTACATACAGCTAAGGTGGCGGGTTCGAATCCAGCCCGGGCCCACCAAACAACAATGACGGCTGCAACCAAAAAAAAATAGCCGGGCATTGTGGCAGGTGCCTGTGGTCCCAGCTACTTGGGAGGCGGAGGCAGGAGACTCGCTTGAGCCCAGGAGTTGGAGGTTGCTGTGAGCGTGATGCCATGGCACTCTACCCAGGGGGACAGCTTGAGGCTCTGTCTTAAAAAAAAAAAAAAGAAAGTTCTGTAAGGAGAAAAAAAGATACTTCCCAGCATCTGTGGATGGAGTGGAGATACTGTAGCGCAGTGGAAAACACCAGGAAACTGTGGTTTAAGACCTCACATGTTCACTTACGTGCTATGTGATCACGGGCAAGTCACTGAACTTTGCTGAGGTTCAAGTTTTTTCCCCACCAGGTAAATAGAGTTAATGATTCCTAATACACAGGACTGTTATATAGATCAAACTAAGCAATATATTGCAAGGTGCTCTGAAAGCCATATTGACACACAGAACAAATGGTGGGCATTCTTATTCTCCTTCTCTGACAGGTGTTCTTTGGTCTGTGAGGTTAGCACAGACAATCTCAAGAGCGTAATGACATTGGGATAACTTTCCAGAGCTGGAATGAAAATAGGCTAATGCTCCTCAAATTCAGTTATAAATTCAGAGCATTGTAATCCAAATACCAAAAGGGTTCTGGTCATAAGATGTAAGCAGAAGGCTGTACGGAACTTGTCAAGTGCCTCCTTGACAAAGAAGGGAATTGACTCGACTGAAAGATGCATCCTTTTCCCCTTCCTCCTTCCTACTACCTGGAAAGTGGACATGGTGGCTGGATCCCCAGCAGCAATACTGGGCCTTGAGGTGGCTTTGAGGCTGGAATCATGTGGCTGCAGAGCAGAACAACAGAAGCAGTTCCATTGGGCCACCTTATGAGCCCAGGATTGACTACTCCAGATTTCCTTTACCACAGAGAATAAATCCTTATATATTTAAGCCACTGCGTGTTGCCATTATATGCAGTTGAACTAATTCTATTAGACTCATTCATCCCATGGAATTATAGTTCAGGAACTAGTCAAAACTGCCTTCTCTCTACTGGCTGATCTAAGTAGGTATAGTGTAGAGTTGGCTCTGTTTGCCAAGAGAGGTTGGAGGTGAGGCCACAGTGGGGCAGGGAAGGAAGGGGAAGAAATGACAGTACACTTTCCTGCATCAGGGGAGGGTCTCACACTGGAAAAGAAATGTTCTACCAAAAAAGAAAGAAAGAAAGAAAGAAAGAAATCAAGTGGAAGATGATCTCTGTGGGTTAAGAGGCTTCTTGCCACCTGCTACAAGGGCACGGGCTGGCCAGGATGGATCAGGTTGTTCATATCCACTTATGTGCTCTCAGGAAAAACACCTCTGAAGGCAGTGAGACAAAATGAGCTTGCTGTCAATGGAGGAAAAACGAACATCTCCTTCAAGGCGCCGTGGCTGGGGAATGGTTTTGTGTGTTTCTGACCCCTTTTCCCCCCATCCCCATGATGATATGATACTCACAATGTTACTGGCAGTTCCACACTTCACATTTAGCTCAGAACCTTCCAATGTCCTCCAGACAGATCTGGGAAGGTCCACAGCTAAAACCTGCAGATGCAATGATGCCACATCAATGCCCTGCATTTAAGCTGAAAAATGGCCCAAAGGAGCTTAGCCAACAAATCGAATTCAGAGGCAAGTTTTTCCATGAGTTATAATAACATCAGTTTAAAAACAAGTAGAGGTACAGTAAAAAGGAAGAGTAATCATGGGCTGTCTGGGAGGTTGGAAGTTCCTTCTGGAGGGAAAGCGTCGATGAGCTTGACTGGTTTCATTAACTTCCACCCCGCCATTCATGCTCAGGGGTCCCTGGAAGATGCAGTCTTAGCATAGGATGAGTGGAAAGTCTGGGAATGATTCAGGGTGCTGTTAAGAGTGAACTGTGACCCTGAAAGAGCTATGTTGAAGTCCTGACCCCTTAGTGAACTTAGAAGGTGAGCATATTTAGAAATAAGGTCAGTGCAAACATAATTAGTTAAGATGAGGTGATCCTGGAATAGGGCAGGCACTTAGTCTAGTATGAGTAGTGTCCTTAAGAGAATAAAGGAGATGACATGTGAGAACTTAGAAACACACAGGGCCACACAACGATGGAGGCAGAGGTGGGAAGGATGTGCCGACAAGCCAAGGAATGCCAGGAATTTCCAGCAAACACCAGAGCCAGGCAGGAGGCATGGAACAGATTCTCCCCTGGAGCCTCCGGGAGGAATAATCTAGCCAGCACCTTGATTTCAGAGGTCTAGACTGCAGGACTGTTTACTGCAGAGAATAAATCTCTGCTGTTCAAGCTGCCCCGTGGTGGTAATTTGCTACAGCAGCCTTAGGGAACTACTCCAGGTGCGCTGTGTGACCTGAAGTTAGGGCATTGGTCATTCTCAAACTGCATAGACGTCAGAAACTGCACAGACACAGTGGGAAGACTCAGGGCGGTGTCACATTCCTACGTGATCTTGCTGGTCCCACACAGTTGATCAGGTCACACGCCACCAACTGATTGAAACTGGATCAACCAGTCATTTGCCTAGAAATTTTGGAGCTGGAAGAGAAGGAATCCATCTGGAAAAACTTGGGGAATGTTGTCAACAGCTATTTCACTGCATGAACAGGGAAAGAGAAAAGGCTGATAGGCAGTGACAGGAGGAACGATTAGTAATATTAAAATAAAAATGGCAGGTCCGAGAAACTGGACCAGGTGTAGTGTACCATAGGAGCCGGCTCGCCAGGGCCAGAGGAGGAGGACACAGAAGGACAGGAGCTGCTGAGGTCTCCTGCATGCTGTGGAGGTGGGGACACGCTGACAGCTCTTACATCCCCCACCCCCCTAACCCGGGACATTTCTGCACTTGTGTGTTTCAGCAAAGTACCTCGGAATCTCGGATCACATGGAACTTCAAATACTCCCTCAGCTTGTCCTTGTTCTCTTCACTGAACAGAAAGTCCTGTTGCTCAGTGGGGAGGCCTTGGAGGGCGTGGTCCGTGGGCCAGAAGAGAGTGACCGGGGTGTGGATGGGATCTGTGATGACACTCAGTAAACCTGAGTCCTGGAACACAGGGAGTCAGCTGGTCGCTGGCGGGAGCACACACCTGGCAGCCAGGCCCAGCCCTGCAGGCAGAGTGTCTCTCTAAGGATTCCCCCTGAGCCCCACCCCGAGGCTTATTGGGACTCGGCATCTCAAGGTTGACACAGCCAGGAACCAGAGCCCTATCACACTCCAGCCATTCTGACCTACATTTCCTTAGTGAGCCCATCAGAAAGTCAAATTCTGTTAAGAGGAAAATAAACCTACACTTTAGGTAATATCTTTTTTTTTTGATACTATTCTTGCCCAAGTATTTTAATTTCTGGAAGAAATTAGTCTTGCATTTTTCTCATATTTCATTTAAAAATAAGAGATCGGTACAGTACTGAGATACTCTTGTGTGTTTATAAGATTTATAGATCATATAGAAAGAAAGATCATTTATAGATCTATTTATAGATCATATAACCAAAAAGAAATCGCAAGACAAATGAGGAGGAGTCATTTTGAGAGCCTTCTATAACCTGGTACCTCATATTCATGTTTTTCTTTTATTTTTCTAACAACCTTATGAAGAATGTTTATTGAGCCCCAGAGAGGTTTCCTAATTTGCTTTAAAAGCCAGTGTTCAACCAGACCCTGATGCACAGGGGTGGGGGTAAGTATAAGGTTGGGTGGGTAGTTGGGCAAAGATTACCTGACTGTAACACCCTTGAGGTTTTCATTTTGAGAACCTTGAAATCCCCATTTCTGCAAAGCTCCCCGGAGAGTCTGAGAGTAACATCATCTTGGGAATTGCTGGTCTAATGCAAAGATTTACTATAGTATAAGGGACTCCAGGGTACTCAGAACCCTTCAGGGAGTGCTCAGGGTTGGGGTGGGGGAGCCTCAGGAGGACCCTCACCCTCCTCCCTATTCTTGCCTGCAATCTTTTCTTTGAACAAGAAGTTTCTATTTAATACATGGGAACAGTCTCTGAAGTCAGAAGACCATGGTTTTAATTTCTACCCCTCTCACGGCAGGTAGGGTCTCCAACTCTCCACCCCAGCTTTTCCATCTCCATAATGGTGCTGATAATTCCAGATGTGAAGCATACCCCAATTTCTTTCCCTCTCCCTAGCTTCAGAAACTTCAATTTCTAGCTCAGTCTGCTGCACATTATACAGTTCAACCAACCACAGAACATGTTGAGAAGTGAGAGACTGAGAATGGGTTTGATCTCCAGAAAATGGGGACTTCCCCATAAGATCCCACAACAGCTAGAATTTGGGAAAATACAACAAAACATAACTTTATTAGACAGGTTATCCTACAAGTCAACTTTTCTTCTATGTTTTTACCTGTATTAAGTTGCTAAATTTGAGGTAGCCTTGGTTTATTGCCAACGTTGTAAGATTTTGCTGCAAAGACATTAAGAACAAATATGAGAATTTTCCTCGTACAATATGCAAAGCACTTTAACAAAAGCTTAACTGCATAAAATAAAGGTAATCTAATATGGCAGGTAGGGCAGATTGGTTCCTCAGCACTTGCTCCAGCCCCCTTTCACCCACTTTTTTGTATTCTAGAGGCTAGAAAACTAAGCACTACATTTTTCTGGACTCCCTTGCAGCTAGAGCCCATAAGTGATACAGGATTGTTCAAGCAGAAACACTTGTGAAAAGCTTGTTGGTGGAAATAAATAACAGGAGATGGCAGTGACTGCTAGAAAGGAGCCCAGACCTTCCGGCAAGCCTAATGGTGAAGGCATCTGTGGTCCAGTTTCTAGTGTCCTAGGTGGTGAGGCTGGACACAGGTGGCAGTGGCAGAGATGTGATAGCCAGAACAACCCTGCGGTGAGGTTAGGTGTTCACCCTTTGTAGGCTTCTGTGGGCTGCTTTGTTCCCAGCTGTGTATCATGTGAATTAGGCTTTGGCCTTCTAGAGACTTGATACATTTGATATCTTAAGAAACTCCTGTTTTTTGGTATAAACTAGATATAATAGATTCTGTGGCCTGCAATGAAGAATTCTGATCAATACGAATATGTAAAAATAAAAGTTAAAATTGCCTTTTCTGTCCATTGAGAACGAGCTTTGCTCCAGTTTTATTTTTGGTGATATCTACATTTATCTATCTATCTATCCATCCCTCTATCTATCAACTCCAACTTCCAAATCTGTGCAAGACCACCTGCCCTTGTGGGCACTAAAGAAAACCTCATGAAATCTACTTATCAATTTAAAATAGACTTTTACTTGTTTACTAAGAATAATATTCACTAGGCCTTTAATGATAGCTTGAGATTGAAACCACAACATTAAAATATTTCCAAATGATGCCTCCAAATCAGAATTGAAATGACAATGTATTGAGTGACTCCTTGCTGAGAGTTTGACAGTTGAGTTTACTTACCAGGATCCTTCCAGAGGCATCTTTGGGAGTGATAACCAAATTTTTGGGAGACAGCACTCTGTCTATGATATGGATGATTCCATTAGTGCTGATGATATCACTAGATATAATCATAGCCTTATTGTTTAAATACACTGTACCCTGAAATGAACCCCAAAAGAAAAAAAAGAAATGAGCGTCCAGAGAAACAGACACAGAAGAGCTTCTCACAGAATGCTTCATCAACTTATTAAATCATCAGGAACAAAGTCTGAAACTGCAAGTTACTTGAGCACATTTTTATTATGAGCATTAAAAGAAAATGGAGACAAGAATATAATTTGGACCTGGAGAAGTTACTAGCAAATAATACAGAATCAAAACAAAAGTTATTTCAATGTGATTCCCAAATAGGAATTAAGCAAGCAGATCAACATTTGCTTCTCTGTTTTTATTTTTTTTAACCTTTGTTTCTCTTTCATATTTAGTCTCTACTCATTATCCTCCCCACCTTTTTTCCCCTTTGCAATGAATTCTTTTTTTTTTTTTTGAGACAGAGTCTGTGTTGCCCTCAGAGCTCACAGCTCACAGCAACCTCAAACTCTTGGGCTTAAGCAGTTTTCTGGCCTGAGCCTCCGAAGTAGCTGGGACTACAGGTGCCCCCCACAATGCTTGACTATTTTTTTGGTTGCAGTTGTTGTTGTTTAGCAGCCCAGGCTGGGCTTGAACCCATCAGCTTCAGTGTATGTGGCTGATGCCCTACTCACTAAGCTACAGGCGCCGAGCCCCGTTTGCAATGAATTCTAGAGCCACCATTTGTTTCTCTGTTGTGAGGAGGAATGGGACCAGCATGATCAAGTGGCTTTGATGAAAAGCTTTTGTCCCTTTCTGGCTTCTAACTGATGCTACAAAAAGCAGGTCTATTTACAGCCTGGAGTTGCCCTGCCTCTGAGTTTCAATTCCAGCTCTAATATTTACTTGCTGTGTGGCATTGGATAAGTCACTTAACCTCTCTGAGTTCAGTTACCATATGCAGAAATTAAGGATAATAATACCATCTCTATCATGGGGCTATTTTGAAGATTAAACAAGTTAGCACATACTTAGAATAGTGCCTGCACATAGAAATCACTCGACATAATTAGTACTATTATTAGGGGCATTACTCTAAGGAAAAGGAGAAGAGGACTTAAGGGTAATTGGCGTGGTCTTGAGGACTCCACTCTCACCTGAGAGACAGAGATAAAGATTGGCTCCCCTTGGAGAGAGGTAACATTTGGGGTCATTTTCAGGTTTTCCAGAAGCAGCTGGTGGCAGGAGACCATGTGGTACCGGAGAACCTGGGACATTAGGCCCTGTTTGTCCCAGTTTTTAATCTGTAATAGAAAGTCAAAGGGTTCCAGCCAGAGGCAGGACTTTGCTGCGGGCTGCTCCTTCCCTCTCCTCTCCTCTATACCCTGATACTTCTCTCCCCACCCAGACTGTGGGAAGTGGGCAGGAAGGGCTGGTTTGTTGCCAGGGCTACAAGATAGAGGCTGTCTGGGCAAGACAGAGACAGTGGCTGGTCCTAATTCCTTTCCTGCCTCCACTGTGGAATCTCAGAATGAAAGGGAACATGGCATGCCTCTGTTCCAGCATTTCACAGCACTGTTGCAAAGACTCCAAGTTCTGTTGAGATGACCCCCAAATAATTAATTTTCTTTTGAATTATGCTGGGAAACACTGTACAGTACATCGTACTCTTGGAGAGGTTCCAGAGCTAGATTTAAGCCCTTAGTATTAGAACATATCATGACGTATCTCCATTTGGAATTCAAAACACAATGTCAACCACAAGGTGTCATATAAAGCCCACAAAGTTCTCATTGGTTCATGATGACTCCTTTGATGGCTTTTTTGAATGACCAAATATCAAATTCTTTCAAAAATGGTTTTTGTGCCTCTGCTTTGGTGTCCAAAGTACAGGCAGTGTGTGCAGTGGTGACATACACAGGCCCAGGTCTGAGTTCTTACTCCACCACCTGCTGGTCATATAACTCTGGGAAAACCCATTCCCTCCATGTCCTCAACTGCAAAATGGGAACAGTAATAGCACTCAGCTTACAGGGTTGTCGTGAGGACCAAGGGAATCAATCTAAGCCAGGCACTCAGAACAGTGCCTGGTACTCTCAGTAAATATTAGCTGTCACTATTATTAACGGGTAATTCATCATGAAGAGCCCCAGTGAATATTAGAACAATAAAAGCTCTGCTAAATCCTGTAAGAAAGAACCAATTTAAATCTCTTTAATATAGTATCTCCCCATTCTGCCCCCCATTTTTGTCTACAGGGGGTTTGGATCATTTGAGAATTATGAATCTTCTCCAACCTCCTACCTTGTTCAGGAATGTCCTTTAGAAGGTCTCTGGCTAGAGGTATCATTACTATGTCAAATCCACCTGGATGCATTCCCTGACAGGGTCCCTGTGCTAAGAAGTAGAAGCTTCTCTTGCTGGTTAGCTTTACCTGATGGTAAATCTCCTGGCCAGAGACAGCTCTAGTGTTGGTTCCAGAGAGAGGTCCAAAGACTGTCTTCTAGCCCCAAACTTTGTCCGCTCGCCCCCAGCCTCGTGCTTACCTGGGCTTCCTCATCAAAGGCTGCAGACAAGGGAGCAAAAACTGTGAAGGGGCCTGGGCCCACCAGGTCTTTCAGAGAATGCTCCTGCAGGAAGGAAGGTGGGCCCCACAGGTCACTTAACCTAATACAGGTAGAGGTTCCAACAGATACCAGTGTCAATGGTACCTGAGCAGCAAAAACTGGATGAGGGGACTTGCATCTTTGATTCAAGGGAAAGCCGGATTCTGTCATTGAAGTCATGTTCGTTTTTTTTCTAATGATGAAATTAGCATGTCCTTATCATAGTAAAGATTTTGAAAATATAGCATAAAGGAGAAAATAATAATGACCCCCATAATCCCATCATCCCAAAGCAACTCCTATTATTTTCAGGTATTCTTTTTCAGCGTCTCTTCCACATATCAATACACTATTGGGATGATAATGCCAATATAAAAAATAAGGTGATTTATTCAGCTGTTAGAATAATTCTAAGGTCATATGGTTACTGTGATTATCTATATTTTCTTCTAGTTTTTTTTTTATGATTTTACTTTTGTAATTTATACTTTATTCTCCAACATGTCTGGACATCACTCAGATGTATGATGTACAGAAAGGTCAAGTTTAATATTTTCACCTAAAGTGTTAACCAGTTGGCCCACTGATGCTTATTTTCCCCACTGGTGTGTAATGAGAATGTTTTTCATTTTCTATACTCTTACGTAGAAAATTCCAGAAACTCAGGTGCCCAGGCTTTCTTCCCCCCCTCACCACCTCTGCAGACTAATGGTTTATCTGGCTTGAGGCAAAACTCTTATAGTTGGACAGACACCCATATTCTCACCTGCAACTGGAAGAAATACTGAGAGGTTTTTGGGTTCTTGGGAAGCTCCTGCAAACAACCACAGGAAAGTTTTGTTTAATATCTTGAACAGCTGCATGCAAGAAAAATGCAGAATGATTGCAGGATGATTTCCCTAAGGTTGTCAGTATCTGCCATCCCTTCAGCTACAAATCTGAGACACTGGGCTTGTTTGGATCGGCACCTCCGGGCTCAGGATTGATGTCCAGAGCAATGGCGTGGACCACGGTGAGTTCCACAACCTTTCTAGAATTGCCATGTGATTTATCAAAGAGCAGCTCAGTCATTTCCAGAAGCATGTGAGTTTTAAGAGCATTTTGAAAAGTTCAAATATTAAAAAAAAAATTCCGTTATAGGTTTATGGTGTGGGAAAAGACCCTGACCGGAAGACAGCCATTTGGGGAGACAGCTGGTAGGGAAAAGCAGGCCAGAAACCAAACTGCATGATCACAGCAACCCCCCTGCTCAACCCCTGCTTCAAGGTGGGTGTTTCTGGGAAAACAACAGAACAGTAACTTTTACTCTGGCCCCAGCTGGTGGCCCATTAAGGATATAACTCCTAGATTTGCCCTGAATGCAAAAATCAGTCCCTCTGCAGAAGGGATGACACCCTCTGGGAATGCCATGCCACATTCAAGGGATAATAAAACCCCCCTGAAACCATGTGACAGCTAAGTGGACTTGTGGTCGGACTCCACTCTGCTCTTTTTCTGCCTTTTTCTGATAAAGCCTCCCTATCAATCCCTGGACTGGCCTCTTTTCCTTTTTATAGACTCTTCCCCCAGTTATTTTAACCAAGACTCTTCTTGGTTACTCTATTAAGAATATTTGATCAGCCAGAATACTTCAGTCCCTCTTTACAGAACTGACCACTTACCTAATAATAGTCACCTGTAAGTATCACACCAGCTCATCCTCTAAGCTTAGGCATGTGGATGGGTACATGTACACACACACACACACACACACACACACACACAGACACAGACGCAACAGTCCACACCATGGCAATGCCTCTAAGCTATTGTGCACTCTGCGTCCGTTACACATATCATCTCATTTAATTATTGTAACAACCTGATGGAATTGGGTTGGTACCATTATTCTTTTCCTCTACTGATTTGAAAATGGATACACAGCGAGATGATGTAACATGCTCAAAGTCACCACTTTACTAACTGGCAGAACTGAATTCAAACCTAGTTGTTTCTGACCCTAGAACTGTCAGTCAGTCCGAATCACAACCTCACCCTCTTTCCAGGTCCAATGAATTCCTATGGACAGACAAATTTCTTTTCACTGCTGTTTTATATAAAAATAGCCTTTCACATTTTTTTAGAGCTTTACAGTTCACAAAGGGCTTAAATGTTCCTTGGATTCTTAGCACGTTTAGTGAAGTAGGATCTGATTTACGGCAGTATGTCTTGTGTTACCTGATAGATGCTGCCACGGCAGGTAAGCCCATCTCCAATGTAGTTTGGCTTGCAAGTACAAGTTCTTCCTTCTTTGCTGGTGTGACTGCAGATGGCAAATTCACTACAGCCACCATTTTTCTAGTAAAATTGCCAAGGGGTAAGGGATGGGGATTAGACCAGTTATTTTGCCAGCTCTGTGAATATTTGCAAAGCAATTCTGTGATGAAATTTATTTTTAGTCTCACTCTCTAACTTTGACTAGTTTTTACTATTCATCCTTTTTCCTAAACTTGCCTTATAATTACTTCCCCATGGTTGCAAGGTCATCTTATTCACCGGGTCTTACATCCCAAGGGAGCAGGTCCCTCTGGGAAGATCTCCAGTCCTACATAGGCAAGTCCAGAGCTGCCAAGTTGGAAATTTCTCAGCATCTGGGCATTAGCTAGAAAGGGACCAATCTTGTTCGATACTTCCCAGCTTTGAGCTCCACTCTGATCTGATCACAGGAAAGGTGACAGTCATCAGATAGAAGGCAGTTGGTATAAAATAGATGGAACACATTGTCTCTGCCCTTAAAGAGTTTTATAAGCTGTGGAAGATGGGCAGAGACCTAAAATACAAACAAAGCACAGTGAAGTTCAAAGCCAACATCCCTGGGGACACTCGCCACATGGACACTTTCCTCCATGTGCCTCTAGACACACATCGCGGGACCCACATCCCACCCTTCCTGCCCTCACAGACCTCTCCCTATGCTTTCTGCAACTCCCTGATATGCTCACCTCTTCTCACCTTCACGTCTTCCTCCAGAGGCCTCTGTCTCCTGCAAACACTAGCCTCTCCGGGCCCTTCCAGTTAAGCTCCATTTCCCTCCATTACCCCCGCTGTCATGGTCTTCCTGCACAGTGTCATTTCCAAACCATTTCTCCGCCCTCCTCCTTTAGACACAGAGGGACCTGGGAGGCACATAATACCCGGGGTCTTCTACCAACTCCTCTCCTGTCCTAATGGTGCTAATGGTGGTGCCTGGGTTGGTGCCTTTCTCTTTAAGCCTGCTGTCCATCCTTGGCGGCATTGACACCCTTGTCATTGGCCTTAGGGCGCCTGCCCAGAGCTGTACTCACAGTTAAGCAGACATTGATGAGCGTGCAGACCTTCCCATCTCCAGTGTACAGTGGCAGACAGTTACAGACGGCCTGTCCGGGGGCAGAGGGCAGCAGGGTCATTTAGTAGGCAAGTTCTGTACCAGCCCCGAGTGCCGGCTCTCTGACGCAGATTTCATCACGGTCATGGTCACGTTAGGAGAGTCCACTTTTGATATTGGTAACAGCTAGTCTATAATGGTGGTTGTCATCTTATATTTTAGCACATGTGGCACGTTTCCCCAGAGCACAGGGATCTCATGCACATCCTGTCTTTGCTGCCAAGATTCCTTTTACTTCTGTTTAACTCTCTTACCCACTTTGGATCCTTGTCATCAAGTAGTCGTCTCTTTTCTGTCTTTGGTGGAGGTCAGAGGAAGGAAGCTGAGCTATCTGCCACCACCATCTAGACTCATTTCGCTCATCTCCACCCTCACTGAGCCCAAAGGCACCAGCGCTGGCAGATGTCACGAAGAGGCCTTGGTTGCCCCGAGGTACACAGATGGAGCCGATCAACCAAATGCCCTGGCTGGCCAAGGATCTCAGGGGGATGTTTTAAGTTGAGGAAACCGGGAAGCCAGGTCCAGGGTCCATGTCACATGCACTCTGCTCAGGAGCACTAGGCTGTGGGGATGGAGCCCCACTCACGCTCTCCTCACTGGCTGTGTGTACCCAAGGACAGGGGCACCTGCTCCCAGTCTGTCTCTAAGGGGCTGGCTTTTCTAATTCACATGAGAACCTCCTACCTGACAGAGTGGGCCCTGGGCTAATGTCTGCTTGTTTTGAGAACTTGAACTCATCAGGTGGACCAGCCAGGGCTGCACGGGCAGGTTTTCACTCTTTCTCCTCTTCTTCCTCTATGACAGGTCCCGACCTCACTTATAACTTCTCCAAAATGCTCACCAGTTGACCCTCCTCAGCTAAAGTCTTGTTCTCAGAATTTGATTTCATACCCGCCTTTACTGCCTTCTAGGTCTGGAGGGGCAACAGCCTACAGGTTCCCACCAGCTCATATGTACTTTGAAATAAAAACGCTACTGAACCCCAAAATAGGTATAGGAAAGCCTAGCATTGGCTGCTCTGATTTTCCCTGTGACTGTGCATGTACCCATATGCACAGACCCATGTGTGTGTATACACAGACAATCTTTGCAGGATGAATTTCATTTCCCATTTTCGGTGCTCTATCCATCCAGAGACTCGGCATTGAGGTCCCTGATGGCTCAGCAAGGTTGAGAGCACATTCCCTGGGGACCTTACTTTGCCATCCAATTTTGGATGTATGTAATTTCCCGCCTGGCCATTTTGCATGTTCACCATGTGACAGAGACTTAGGGAACTGGGACTTGGGTCTCTGAAGCTCCAGCTTCCCCATCCACGTCTTTCCACCCATCCCTATCCTCTGATGCTGGAGATCTCACGTTTTCCCCACCCCCCCCCCAGTCTGCTCTCCAGGGAGGACTGCAAGCTCTCTGTGCTGGGAGCTCATGACTGGGAGAGGGCCAAGAATCTTATCTTCTGCTGTGGTGCATGTCTTTCAGGGCTATAAGCTAAAGAAAAAGTGTGGGATTCTGGGCATCAGAAAGCTGAAAGAAATAGGAGCACTTCTGGGGACCTTCTAGGTGCTTCTTGAATCATGTGGTGTTTGATGATGGCTACTTCTTCCCACTCTACAGGAGCCCCTTCTCCTAGTACCCATTATTTCCCCATTTTTCCTCATTCCCAAACAATGGCTTCTTATCATTTCATAATTTCTCCTCAAGTATGTATTTTCTGCTACTCCTCAGAGGTCTGTCCCCAACCTCTTTCCTGTGTCTAAAGACCCAGGCATTTCTTTCTAGGAACCCGAAGGGCTCAGGATGCAGAGCTCACCTGGTTGGGTCCTGTCTGCGTGCACTCTGCATTCCTGTCACAGCCGCCATGGTTCTCCAGACACGGGTTGATTTCTTTAAAGCAAAAAGTCAACACCTGGCATGAGAATCAAGCTTGGCTGCCAACTGAAGGCATCTTGAGGGACGAGCTAGGAGGACTAACTGACCAAGGGGAGCAGGCATTAAAGCGGGATTCAGTTTGCTGATGGTTCTGAGACAGAAGGAGCCTAATAATGTGGGAGTTACAAGATATGGTTTCGTAGACTCCACCCTTCTGGGAAGGGCTGATTCCAGCAGGGGTACAGTCCTGAATCTGCTTATGAAATGACCAAGAGCGTTTGCAGCAAGGGGTTTGAAATAATAGAATCTTGGCAGCTAAACCAACAGTGCTATGATTGAAGAGACTTAGGAGAATTTAAGAAATCATTTGCAACCATCACAATCTAGATTGGTTGGGGAAAGAGTCATCAGTTGATGCTGAATTTAGAGGAACATTTTGATGAGAACCAAGATGTCTGCTTGGTGTTATAATGTCTCCCCGCTGATTGCTTATCAGTAGCAAAGGGGGAAAAAGTAACTATCTAGTGGAGAAATTAGACAAAACCTTGACTGGGTGGTCAAAATTAACATTGCACACCAGGGGCAGAGGTGCCACCAGTGTGACATCCTGAGAAGGGCATAACATGACTGTGACATTCAGTCCTGGACTGTAATCTGAACCTCATCATGAAAGAACATCAGAAAAACCCCAAATAAAGGATGTGCTATCAATGAAAAAAAAGTTGGGGGCAGTAGACTATATCCTCCCCAAATGTCAATGTCAAAAGAGGCAAAACAGGGCTTAGGGACTGTCCCAGATGAAAGGGGACAAAAGAGACATGGCAAGTAAATGCAGTATCTGACACTATACCAGATCCTGTACCGAAGGAGATACTACCAAAAAAAAAAAAAAAGTGCCCGTTACTGGGGCAACTGACGAAATTAGAATAGAAACGATAAGCAGACAAAAGTGTTCTATTGGTAATCAATTTACTGAGGTTGAGAACTGTGCTGTAGGTATGTAGGAGGCTACCCTTATCCTTAGGAAATACACACTCAAGTATTTAGGATGAAAGGGCATACCACATGCACAGCTTACTCAAGTATTTAGGATGAAAGGGCATACCACATGCACAGCTTACTCAAGTATTTAGGATGAAAGGGCATACCACATGCACAGCTTATCCTCAAATGGCTTAGAAAAGACATGTGCGTATACAGAGAACAAGCAAGGCAGATGGGGCTCAATGTTAATAAGTGCAGGCAGGCCAAGAACAAGTGGGTCTTTTCTGTATTGTGCATTCGTACAGCTCTTCTGGGTGAATCTTTTTTTCCAAGTATAAATTTAAATTCACACAACTTACTATGCTATGCCGTTACTGTAGAACAGTGTGGGGCCATTAGAAGAATGAATTTGGGCTTTACCTATTTTCAGGAAAAGTTGTTCTATCATCTTGCTATGTGTAGTAAGCACCATGCATCGTGAAATACCGTGTTTGTTAAAAAAATACATGTATATGTAGCCAAATCAGGTCATACGACAGTAAAACAGTGTTGCCTCCAGAATTTTCTCCCCAGCACATACTCCTTTTTCTACAGTGAGAATGTTCTATTTGTATATAAAAAAAAACTAACAAAAGTTTTCAAATTCAGCTATTGCCATAATGTTTAATTTTAAAAAGTTTCTTTCCTCTTATCTGACAATGTGAATGTTACTTCTTTTGCATCATCATCATTATTATTCTTGCTCAATAAAAGAAAAAAGTTTCTCTCCTTTTACCCTTCCACAGTGAGTTTTGGACATTACACGTCTCCACACCCTGTGGTTTTGTTTCCACACTCTCATACTTTCCTGCGCAGGCAGACTGCATCAGGCCCCAGTAGCTGTACATCCCAACAGGAAGAGCTCACACACTAGTCTCATGGAAGAGGACTCTGACTCTCATACTGTTTCTGAGGATGGATGAGGGGTGACCACCTACCCAGACACACGATGCCGTCGCCCGTGTAGCCTGCCTTGCACACACAGGTCCGGCTTCCTGGGGTGGTTCTCTTACAGTCAGCCTTGGCAGAGCATCCCCCGTTGCTGATCTCACAGGCGTTGATTGCTGCAGATGGGAGGGATGGCACAGAGCCGAGGAGGGGGGAGAGAAAGACTCACTGATGTGATTTCACCTGAGTCATTGAGAAAGGGAAGATACTTTGAAACTCCCCTGTCAGGCACTGAGCGCTCATTTTGGCAGGCTTGGGATAATAACTATGGCTAATTCCCCCAAAGAGGGCAGGAAAGACATTTGCCCTTCCAGCTGTTTTTACCAGCATACCATACACACTGTAGGAAACATCTGGGGACCAAGGTCAAGGTACCTGGCATTTGGGGAAAATCCCCACGGTAAGATGGTCATTGTCCAGCTCCACCACAACGTGGGCCAGGGCCTGCCAGGACACAGTGCTCAAGAGAAAAATGACTCTCAGATTTTCCATTTTTCAGGCACCCTAAGAATATCAGCTCACATTTCCTGAATGTGGTGCTTTGCAGGTATGAATCCAGGTTATCAACCAACAACCCAATGAGGGAGGCTCTCAAATTATCCCCAACTTGCCGATTAAAAAGAAAGGATGCAAAGAGCATTTAAGCAACGTTTCCAATGTAATATAAATGGTAAGAATTTAGAATCAAGCTCAGGCAGTCAAATGAGGAGGCCGTTTTTCACAGCTGCATTATTCTGCCATTGTATACAGGGAGGTCATTTAACCACAAAACTACTCTGTGTGTGTGTGGAGTGTTGGTTTTGTGTTTACTTTGCAAATGAACTAGTAGGTGTAAAAGCAGTTAAGAGACACACCCAAGGTCATGTTGGGGAAGAAATAGGGATCCAACCCTTTTCTGTCCCACTCCAGGGTCTTAATGCCCCAGACATGCCCTAGGCCAATCAAATCAGTGGTTTTTAAAAACATTTTTTAAATTGACAATAATTGTACGAATTTTTAAATTGACACATAATAGTTATACATAATGGTGTTAGCATACGTATAGTGTAGAGTGATCAGATCAGGGTATTAGCATTGAGATGATATGCATCATCTGAAACGTTTATCGTTTCCTTATGTGAGATCCCAACACACATCAGTGGTTTTTAAAGCTGCCCCAGTGATCCCAACTGTGGTCGAGTCTGTGAACTACAGCAAATGTCACGTGCACTTGGAAAACAGGTGCAATGGCCCCACCCGCTCCAAACCCAACACAACCCATCCATGAACGCTGGGTAGCCTGTCCCCAGCCACAATCAGCTGCCAGTTATATGCAATTCACCCTCAGGAGTTGGCACCAGCTGCCAAGGCCCATTCAGAGGCAGAAAGCTGGGTCCCTTGACAGCCTGTGCAAGCCTTCTTGGCCCTTTGCATTCCTTCTTCACTTGCCTGTGCAGACCGTGCCGTTGCCTTGGAATCCTGCTGCACACTTGCACGAGCCTGTGCCATCGGGATTGGGAAGGCAGCTGCACAGAGAAAAGGCAAATGGCATTTGTAAAAAGTACTCAGCACCCCGCCATGGGACTCTCCAGTCCTTCAGCCCTGGCATCCTGGACCCTGCCCCTGTGAGGCACTCACAGGTCCTGCCTAAGCCTTGGGAGGAGAGTCCATTTCAGGCATGACCTCACTCAGCACAGGCAGCTGAAACTGCCATCATCCATCATCAGTGTGTGTGTATGCAGGCATCAGCTCAGGAACGAGGAGAGTAACTACCCAGGTACTAGGAGCTGTGGCTCGTGCACTACTTTAGGTCATCCGAATACACAGCAGGTGGGCATCATTAGTCCCATTTGCAGATGAAGACACTGAGGCTTAGAGGGATTAGATAACTGACTCCAGGTCGTGCAGTCAGTGAAATTGACAGGGGCAAACTTTGAATTCAGGTCTCACTCCAGCTACCCAGCTCCTCGCTAATGAAGCCTCTCTGAAGTTAGGACTATGGTGCCAAGTGAGGCTTGGCTGTGAGTCGAGAGCAGTGTTTTCTGAAACCGAGGCCTACTGGTTTTCCTTGGCCTCCAGGAAAGAGTCCTGGTGGCTTAGACAGCGTAACAACTGGCATTTTTGCCAACATGCCAGGAAAGTCAGGTGGCAGCATGTGGGAAAGCCTGGATCTGGCAAGATGATGGTGGCCTCTTCAGAGATATTTTTAGTTTCATACTCAAATTTTCTCCTAAACCTTCAGAAGTGGTGTTAGGAAATCACTCCCCTGAGGGTAGGGCCTGGGGTGGAAACCGTGGAGAAAAAAAATGTCCTTTGTATTGTCCCCAAAGAAGGGCCAGAGGGTACCTACTTGGCGCTGGTGTGGCACGTCCCATTGCAATTGTCTGTTGTGATCTCTGAAAAAGAGAACCAGTTGCTGGATCAGCCTGTTTTACTTGAGAATTTTTGTGTGTTGTGCTAGGAAAAGATTTACTTCCTTGCAAATAACTGGTGTGTATCATTTGAGCTACCTGAAACTATGTGGCAGTAAGAAACAGTCCTTTTTTATATGACCTGTCAGGAAGCTTAGAGCCGAATCTGAAGGTCAAATTCCCTGACAGAGCATCTCCTGTTTGCCTGGCCTGGCACCAGGCTCTGAGAATGAGGAAATTCACAGCATCCATGCTTGAATAGGACCGTGGGATCTTATCTGGGCATTTCTATTTCCCAGGTTATTCTTTCTCATTTATTCTTCCTCATTTTATTCTCTTTAGTTTTCATCTGTTTTTTTTTTTTTTAACGGAATGATATAAACAAGCAAAAACATCATTATAAATAATATTAGAAGATTTTTCCATATGCGGCAATGGCCTCAGGCTTGGCACATGGCAGGTACACACTATTTAGTTATTGAATTAATTTCTAAATTTCCTGTACATGACTTAAGTTATTGCTTTTGGATACCTAGCTAGTGGCTATTTCCTGACAGGGCAGGATCCAGAAAGAAATGATTAGAGTTGGCTTGGCACCTGTGGCTCAAGTGGCTAAGGTGCCAGCCACATACACCTAAGGTGGCGGGTTCGAATCCAGCCTGGGCCCGCCAAACAACAATGACGGCCGCAACCAAAAAATGGCCGGGCGTTGTGGTGGGCGCCTGTGGTCCCAGCTACTTGGGAGGCTGAGGCAGGAGACTTGCTTGAGCCCAGGAGTTGGAAGTTGCTGTGAGCTGTGAGGCCAGAGAACTCTACCCAGGGGTATAGCTTGAGGCTCTGTCTCAAAAAAAAAAAAAAAAAAAAAGAAATGATTAGAGTTGAAGAAAGAGTAACTTCAGGCAGGATGTTCAAGCTAAGGGCCTTTGGGATAGGAATCTTATCAGCTCTGGCCAAGTCACACAGAAAGGCCTGAAACAGATACTGCAGCAAATGTGGCCTCAGGGAACATTTTCATACTGGAATGGGCTGGAGCGGATGCAGTGAGATTTTATGGCTTTATTTGTGTTGTTCTGTGACCCTAAAAATCCCTTTCTCTTCATTCTCCACCTATTGAAATTTCAACCATTTTAAGGAGGCGTCTTTAACTCTGCATGCCTTTGATTTTAGCATCACCTGGAGCTTTGGGCAAAGACATCGCATCCGACAACCTTGTCTGTGGGTGCCTGTGATTTCCTCCTAAGCCCCTACCCCAGAGGACAGGCAGGAAAGCTCTGATTCCTGCCTCCAGGGATAGTTTCCTCCATCCGGAATAAGAATGATTTTTCCCACATGCTCAGATTATATTGCTTCCTTGCTTAGAACCCTTTAAAGGGTCGGTTCTCAACCTGTGGGTCGCGACCCCTTTGGGAGTTGAAGGATCTTTTCACAGGGGTCGCCTAATGTCAGCTATTTACATTACGATTCATAACAGTAGCAAAAATTACAGTTATGAAGTAGCAACGAAAATAATTTATGGTTGGGGGTCACCACAACATGAGGAACTGTATTAAAAGGTCGTGGCATTAGGAAGTTTGAGAGGCACTGCTTTAAAGGCTTCCTGTTGGCTGTATCAGGAAGTCCGGCTTCCTTGGCCGTTCCTGCCTGGCTCCTGCCTCCCACGCCCCTGTAGCTTTTTCTCATTCAACTCTCCTCTTTGCCTTTATTTTCCTCTTATTCTGCAAACCTGTGGTTCCCCCCATGTGTAGAGCTTCCCCACACTTTTGTGTTTTTCTTTTTATTTCAAAGACAGAGTCTCTGTCCCCCTGGGTAGAGTGCGGTGGCTCACAGCAACCTCAATCTCCTGGGCTTAAGCAATCCTCCTGCCTCAGCCTCCCAGAACCAGGATTAAAGGCGTCAGCCACTGCACACGGCCTTATTCCAGTGCTTCTTTCTGCCTGCAATTTTGTTCTCGCTCGTCACTCTTACCTGAAGCACAACAATGCTTCAGTCAATAGCTATGGGGGGGGGGTTGGAGGAACGGGCCTTCTCAGCCTTCTGCTGATAGGCATATAAATTGAAATAACCTCTGAAGGACAACTTGGCAATCAGTAGGAAGGCCTTCCCCCAGAGTGCCAACTCCTGACTCAGAAATCCCATCTCTAGGAATTTATCAAAGGAATTAATCAGCCAAATGTGAAAGCATGCCTATAAGGCATGCTCATCCTGGCACTGTTCGTGATAAAATTGGTTTAAAGAGGTGTGACACTGTCATATGGCACAACATTATTGGAAATTAAAAATTAATGACATTTGTCTATTTTTATTCACATGGAGCGACTTCTATTACATACTGTGAGGTGAAAAAAGTAGGTTACAAGAACGGATGTACAATAGGACTCCCTATATGTGTTTTTATGAGCCCAGAAAAAGATCGGAAGCTAATAAAAGCACCAGTAATCGTTCTTTCCTGCCTTGGGAGTAGGAACCATTTAATTTTCCTTTCTCTGCTTTTCTTTCTCTTAATTTTACAGACTTTTTGCTGCAGGAAGGAATTATGTTTATTGTCAGAAGAAGTCAAAAAGTGTCATGTCTGTTTTAGAAAGAGACAGTGTAGCGGCCAAGAAGAGAGGAGGCTAAGGTCACGAATTCTGAAGGGCTCCTTCTTACCATTGTCGCATTTCACTCCTCGCCAGCCAACGTCACATTCGCAGGAGCCGTCACCCGAGGGTCCCTGGTTGCATTTCCCGTGGACACAAGGACAGGCTAAGTGGAAAAACACCTTCAGACCGTTAGGCTCTAACCCACGTTCAACGACTCGTTTGTCATTTACTGGGTTCATATTGTTGCACTTCACCCTCCAACCTGGTTCTGGGGAATCACTATCTGTACTGGGGGGCTCCACCCTGGGAAAGGCAGGGGTGGGGGAGATGGAATTGAGGTGGGTAAAACAGGTAAACTGAGTCATGCTGCAACAAAGAGACTCAGAACACGGTTTTGGAACTGGGCAGGAGACCCACACAGCACAAGAGTGGCTGTCCTCAGCCAAGATTATCTGTGGATCCAGGGTGATGTGGGGATGGAACCATGCTTGGTCCCTAAGAGTGGACTTCAAAACGAAGCCCATTTGATATGGGGTTTGTATCAGCCTGGGGTGGCCCGGCTTTCTTCAGCAGTACAGAGATGTTAATTCCTTTGTTTCATGGCAGGGTTGCCAGCCTCTTTGAGAGCTGGATGAAAGCTCTTCCCCCCACAAAGTGCATTTGGCTTTGCCGGACCCTGTGAGAGTCGTCCATGGGTCCTAGGTTAGGAACTTTCACACACATGCAAGCAGAGAATTCTTCCAAATAACACAGAAAAAAAAAAAAAAAAACAAACAACACTGTAATTCGAATTATATATTACATGGCCCAGCTACAATGATTCAATTATATATTAATTTCTGTCTGGCTTAAACCAGCTGATGAGTCAACAGTGATAGTCAGTCAAGTTTGTGTTTTTTTAGTACCAGGTAGAACAAGGCTTTGCTTTCCCATCCTGGGTTAGGAAACAGTCTTCCCCAGCGTCAGCCCTCTCACAGGTGTCCTGGTGGGCACAAGTGTCAGCCCTCTCACAGGTGTCCTGCGTGTGGGGGAGGGGGATGGGATGCAGGTGACCTGGCTCCATCACTACTTTTGCAAAAACAACTTAAAGCATGTGGCTTGCTGACAGCGAATCGACAGAATAATCTTCACATAAGAACAGCACAATTTAAGGGCAAGGCTTTAGAGTCAGGTCAGGTGTGTCAAATCTCAGTTCTGCCTCTCCCCAGTGTGACCTTGGGGAAGTCATTCAACCTCTTTGTCTTACCATCCTCATCTGTAAAATGGGACTAAGAAAACCCATGTATAGAAGGTTTAGAAATGCGGTTGGGCTGGAGTGTCAAAGAACAGGTTGAGGGTGGATGCGGCGGTCCAGATTAGAGACTGAAAATGTCTGGAAATACCGCCCTCTGCAAATGACACACCACAGGCGTTCGTATAATTCCCCGGGTCACAGAGGGTCGGGTTCCAGCGGGCTGGGGAGACAGGCCAGTCAGGAAGCACCTGCCCATTAGGGCAGCGCAGGAGCCGGATGGGGAGGGAGGAGGTGCCCACCTTGGTCGCAGTGGATGCCGTACTTGCCCTCCGCGCAGGTCTCGCACGCCGTGCCACTGAAGCCCGCCCCGCACTCACACATGCCCGTGCCGTTCACTCCGTCCAGGCAGATGCCGTTACCCAGGCAGGCGTTCTGGGCTTTCCCTGGGCAGGCCTGGCACTGGGGACCGAAGAAGCCGGCACAGCATTCCCTCGTCTGAAACAGAAGGACAGGGCTGGACGGGCACTCTCCCCGCGGGGTCTTGTCCAGCCTCAGTGCCGACATCCTGCGTGTGGTGGGATGGGGATGCTGTGTGCACCTGCATCTCTGACCCCACACCCAGGGGTTGCAGGATGTGAGCGGGATCTTCCCAGGGTGGGTGACGCTTGGCAATTTCCAGGGCTGCTAGTGGCAGGACCAACCAAGGCCTCCACCAAGGAGGCAGGCAAGAGGGGAAGGACAAAGCAAGTCGGAGAAGAGGATGAAGAAGAATGAGAAAGGAGGGGAGGCGGCAGAACAAATTAAAGAATGCTGTGTGGGAAGCTGCAGAGCGGGGAGTCCCAGGGGCTTGCCCCACTCAGACCCCGCCCTTCGCACGGATGCTATCTCATCGCCCACTGAAGTTGGGAGCCTCCAGGGCGAGGACTTTGGTGTTTTACAAACCAAATTCTTGTAGTTCAGGGATGCCCTGGATGTCTGGTTTTGTCCTGCCTTTATTCGCCAGTATATTCGAACCCAAAATCTCTTCCAGCCCCAGGCTCTGCAGCTGCAGGACCAGACCTGCCTGCCTCTGCCAGGACTGTTCTGCAAATTCCAAAGCAATGCCCAGTAGTGTGTAGCTCTGGGGTCCTGTTTTCTAAATGACCAGGCAGATTTTGTTTTCCCTGAGTTAGTGACCACTTTCTCTCTCTTACATGTGTGCTCACAGAGGTAGCTACCTGTTGTGAGAGCAGGGAGGGCCTCTTAGCCTCCTAGTCTCTCCTTTTTTTCATCATGTAATTGAATACTGTAGTGTTTACCCATTCTCTGCCATACAGGGCTGCTCTGAGTTTTATTGCTACCTGGAGCACTTTGAATGACAATGATAATGAAGATAATGAGGAAGAAGAGGGTGTAGTAGAGAGAGTACACCCAAAGGCATCGTGAAAAGTGTAATAAATGAGGACCGGCTGTGGGCTCACACCTGTGATCCTAGCACTCTGGGATGCCGAGGCGGGTGGATTGCCTGAGCTCAGGAGTTCCAGACCAGCCTGAGCAAGAGCGAGACCTGAGCTCTACAAAAATAGAAGAACTAGCTGGGTGTTGACAGGTGCTTTTAGTCCCAGCGACTTGGGAGGCAAAGGCAAGAGGATCACTCAAGCCCAAGAGTTTAAGGTTGCTGTGAGATATGAGGATGCCAGGGCACTCTACCCAGGGTGGCAGAGTGAAACTGTGTTAATAAAAAGAAAAGAAAAGAAAAGAATAACAAATGATTGACTCTCCCAATGTTGCTGCAGTGATCAGAAAGTTGATTAAATTGTCATACTCACAATGACAGTTTTCACACATTTTGGCTGGCACCCAATAAACACAGATCGTTTCCCCAGGAAATAAATGGTATAGATACATTTCGTCGTCTCATTGCCCTATAAAATAACAATGATTGTGTCAGCTTATAAGTTACAAAGAAACACTTTCCAATCTCTAAAGCAAGCAGGTGGGTGGTGCATTGCTCTGTGACTAGAATGTTCTGGAAAAGGAGGGTGGTGGTTCTTGGCACTGCTTTGTAAGTAAGAAAACACAACAATACAGTGTTGGCTGCCAGAATGCCAGGTAGAAAATTCCAAATAATTATACTGTAAAGTAGTACTCTGTAAAAAGAATGTTTCTTTAGAAGACTAATTCAGGTCTAAAAGAATCATAGAGTAAACCAGGTAAAAATGTTCTTACAGCACTGTATAGGAGCAGTGTCGATTGATCTGAAACTTGGTTTGCATTTATTTGTTGATGTATATTCTGCATTGGTCCAAGAAAGGGGTAAGACTGCTTACAAAGGCCTACGATATACCAGATTAAGTGAAAATTTAAGTTAGAAAATCAGTATTAGTTGTTATAAATTATTACTATGGTACTATGAAAGGCACATGAAGGTTTAATCTTTGTAATAGTTGTTATCAGAAGAGTGCTTTTATAATAAATAGCTGCAAGAAATAGGGATTGGTAATTAATTCAGAGACAAGTCTATTCCTTCTAAGTCTGCCATCTGTTTCTTTGAGAAAGTTAGTTGCAGCTTCAACTTATAAAAGGAAATCAGGCAGGTGGATGTGTGTTTGGATATAGCATCTGTCTTCTCTCATACGGTTTCTTGGTGCTGTATGACTCAACTGGCTACTGGGGTTAGGAAAGACATAGAAAGTGAAAAATCCCTACTCTACCCTGTGTGTTGGTGGCCGTGAACCCATTTGCATTTATTTATTAACTAAATTTTGTCTTGGTCTCCTCAAAATGGATTTAAGACTTTGCAAAGATGCATATAACAGGGTAAAATTTAATTCAGATGAAGCAAAGGAATGAGAGAAGTGAAAATTAGAAATGCTTGAGATTTATTCTCTAATTTGGACTCCCGAAGACCTAGAAACTATTTCACCAAAGCAGACAAAATACTTACTAGTGGTTTAGTTCCAAGTGGGCAGACTGGTAGCTGGGGACACTTCCCACATTTTCCCTTGATAAAACACAGAGATAAAGGGAACATTTGGAGGTTATTAATTTTAGTGCAAAATGAAGTTGCAAATATTTTTTAGAGCTCAAATCTAAAGATTTTAGTGTAAAGAATTAAAAATCAAGCAAAGTCATCTGGTCAACCTCCTTGATGTTCTTTGAGATAAACACTTTAGCTACTTTGGGTCTTGCCTATTAGAGCATTACTTTTTTCCACAATACTCTTCTGAGTCTAATAACCCTTTAAATCATGGTGTTATCTCATTTAAATCCCAATTTCTTTCACAGCAACTCTCTTTTATTGAAAACCCACTATTTAGTGAATTGGGCCAGATTCAGAAACTAATGAGGGGCCATACCCAATGTCCAACTTGGGAGCACAGGGCCTGGCTGAGGGCTGAAAAGTGGGGACACGCCATAGAGATAATAATGTTATTACAAAACAAAGAGCAAAACTTAACAGTGACAGACGCTCCTAAGGGCAGACTGTTCCTAAAATAGGAGGCTGGTGTGTCTAGCCCTGAACTTGGTACCTCCTGGACAGTACGGTGTAGTTGTTCAGAGCTCCAGATTTGAATCCCTTCTCTGTCACTTGCTAGTGTGTGAGCCTGGGTGTATTATTTAACTGCTCTGCGGCTCATTTCCCCCCAATGGGGTTTGTAATGGCACCTACTTTGTAGGAAGCTATGAGGATTACATGGGTTAATATGCAAAGCGTTGATAGCAGTGCCTGGCACATCGTAACTACCATTAAATTTCAGCAGTTATTACTGCTGTTGGAAGATCCTACACCACCCCATGGACTGGAGGGAAACTCTCCCTCATCATAGCCTGTGTTACACTGAAATCATTCATTTCCATGTTGTCTCTTCTAGTAGACCAGGTTTGGTTCCTACCTGCCATGGTGCACCACAGTCCCCTCCCTGTACCCGAGCTAAACATGGTACATTTTCTCTTTGAGGAAGCCCAGGGTTCCAGAGCCTGCTCAACACAGCCCCCTGGGTAGCCTCTCACAGGCACTGAAAGTACAACCTATGAGGAGCCCACTGAGGGCAGGGGTCACGTCTTATTTTCCTTTGTGAAACCAGAGCCTGGTATGACCTTGGCATTTCAGAGACGCTCCCCTGGTGGTTTTTGGACTGAACTGAGATACCCCAATGGAAAAGACTCTGCTTAAAGAATTATAAAAAAGAAGCCAACCTCCTTCAGTCGCAACATTGGCCCTGGGTAGAACTTACTCGTACAATAATAGTCTCATTATTATCACATCTATTCTTCTGAATTTCCAGAACTTTCCCCAAGCCGTGGATCACTCCCTTGTCAGTGGCTACGTTGGTGTAGTTTACTGGTGCCTCATTTACGTAGAGCTGTGAAGAAGAGCGTGAAACGTGACTTTTTATGATAGTGATTTTAAGGGATGGAGAAGATGAGGACTGGGGGCCATCAGTAGGACGACAGCCACAGCCTAGGAGATGTTCTAATATTCACTTGGAAGGTAGTGCATTATATTGGAAAGAGCTCTGGCCCGGGAGGGGGAGTCTGAATAGCAGTCCTGCCTCCGGTGCCATCTAACTGTGTGATCTTGAGTTATCTGCTTTCCTTCTCTGAACCTCAGTTTTTTCTTTTGTTAAGGAGTAAAAGGAAGAGCTTGTTCTAAAGAATCTCTAAGGTATTTCTCCATCTCCCAAATTAATGGACCTATGGGATATAAAAAATAAATGGACTTATGGTTACGTGAAAAATAAACAAGCATGATTATTAGGTTAGTGCCCTGTGGCAAGATGACTCCCTGGACGTGCCTGGCGGTGCTGTAGACTGGTAGTCCTGGGGGCACTAGTACCTTCTACAGCTGAGATGTGGGGAATGCAACGCATCCTTTCAGCACATCTCTGCTTCATGGCTAATTTGCAAGCAACCCTCAGAAACGCTAAATACCAGCGACAAAGGAATGAAAATAGACCCATCTTTGTCTCGTGTGTCCATAAGCATCGAAGACACGGGAACAAAGCCAGTATCTAAATGCTGCCCAGTCAAGTTCTCCTTTGAGTTGTAATTTGTTTGCTTTTGAGTTTGTTTGGGAAGTATACTTGAATGACTAATAAAAAATAAATGCAAGCGCTAATTCATTAATATAATGAAAATGCCTGGAAACAAACGGTTTTTGGAAAATCGGGGTGAGGTACGTATGTTTATGTGTGTGTGTTTATGTATAGGTGTAACAGGGCTGAGATTGGAAAATTCTTTATTGTATTAAGCAGATAAAAATTTACTTAAGAGTTTAAAATTCTTATATTAACAGCCCAACACTCTCCATCGCAGCAATAGTAAAATGACCCTGCTAACTTCTACAATTTGAACTTCCACTGAATGGTTAAGTCCCTTAAGTTTTACTTGCAGTCAAATGAATTTCCATTTGGATGTTGAGATAAATCATGGCTTAGCTCCACAGAGGAGTCTCAAGGTCTGTGTACATGAGGAAAATTAGTAAGAAACCTTATTTAGTCTCAAATGATTATGTGCAGTCCCACATATTTCTAGGATTCCAAGATGCTGAGCTGTTTTTAAATTCCAAAATAGAAGATCATTTGATGTTGTAATACTGTTGATTGAATAAGGCTAAATTATTTCCATTGTGAGACAGCCAGAGCATTAGGGGTGATGTTACCATTTTGACCTGAACACGTTTACTCAGTAAGAAAGCATTTTTCTGCGCTACCATTGTTGTAAGAGAAGTAAATTCGTCTTAATATAAGCAAAGCCTCTACTATATGAATAACTCAAAGAATTTCTGAACAAATGGAAAGTGAACATTACAGTATTGAAATTGATTCAACTGGGTGGCACTTGTGGCTCAGTGAGTAGACGGCTGGCCCCATATACTGAGGGTGGCGGGTTTGAACCTGGCTCCAGCCAAACTGCAATAAGAAAATAGCTGGGCATTGTGGTGGGTATCTGTAGTCCCAGCTACTCCAGAGGCTGAGGCAAAAGAATTGCCTAAGCCCAAGAGCTGGAGGTTGCTGTGAGCTGTGATGTCACAGCACTCTACTGAGGGTGACAAACTGAAACTCTGTCTCTTAAAAAAAAAAGAAATTGATTCAATTAACTGCTTTGGAATATTTAGCTCTCTGAGATGCAGTAAAAGATGACAGATGAAAACAAAAATAAAAGTAAGAACTCTCTGTCAATAACAGTTGCCATTCCTGAAAAGAATAAGAAAATATTTAAATATTTAAAAGAGCGTCCTCAAAGTTATTACACAATACATAAGTAGAATTATTTGTAGGAGTGAGAGAAAAATATCTGGAGTCAGAATATTCTCAAGTAATGAAGAGTCGGAAAGACTTTTTCCCCCTAAGAGATCACAAAGAAATTGAAGAAATTATTTTTATGATTACATTTTTTTAAAAAAGGATCAACTATTATTGTTGCTCCACAGTTCTATGATTAAGCTTTTATTTCAACATAGTGTGTAGTCTCTTAAATCATAATTTGCTTTCATTAATTTTTCTTGTGGGAATTTACATTAGGATTAGATTGTGGGTTTCTTACTGAATTTTCATAGATCAATCTTTTTGCATGATATTTGAAGTATGAGACTAGAATTTTACATTTGAAATATTTTAAATATTTAGTTTCACTAATTCTCTTTTATGAATTGTAAACATTTAAAAATATTTAGGTATTATTGGAGATCAGAAAGGAAATACCAGCGTGGTGGTCAGTTGGCCCCAGGACGGCAATGTCTGTGATTATGCAATGATAATAATTTTAGCCAGGTGTAAAATTTTAGCTCACACCTGTAATCCTAGCACTCTGGGAGGCTGAGGTGGGTGGATTGCTTGAGCTCATGAGTTCGAGACCAGCCTGAGCAAAAGTGAGACTCTATCACTACTAAAAATAGAAAAATTTAGGCCAGAGGATCACTTGAGCCCAAGAGTTGGATGTTGCTGTGAGCTATGACACTACAGCACTCTACCCAGGGCAAGAGCTGGAGACTCTGTCTCAAAAAAAAAAAAAAATAAATAAAATAAAATAATTTCAATTCACTTGGCTGCTCTGTTGGTCCGGTATATGTCATTGGGCTCCTTACGTCCTGGGGTTGACTCCACCTCTTGTAAGTTAGTTTGAGCTCCCAGATTCCCTTCCATCTTGGGGACCATCTGGACACTAGGGTTGTTGTACTAGTGCTGAAGGGTGCCTGTGATGACCGGGATTCAAACACCACAATTCTAAGGCTACCCTGGTTATCTGCAGGTGAGTGGGAGCCTGACCGTCTGGTTTAGGTGATGCTTTACGGTGAAACGTGGACACCTGTTATGTGTGGCTAATAAGGCTGGGGAAGTGCTGGTGAGATTATGCCAAGGTGGCAGTGATGAAGGCTGACAGGGGCCAAGATGCTGGTTCCTGGGTCTTATGTAAAAGAAATTGCACCTGCTCATTGTGGACAAAGAAGCCCAAGAGGAAGGAGAAGCCCAGCATGGTCTCCCGGTGCATGCCGTTGTGCAGGTCGTTCTTCAGGAGCTTGTCCTCCAGGACCACGTGGTACCGCAGTATGTCCTCCTCCTGCACCACACACGAATGGAAAGTTGGTCAGGTCAGTTACGAGCCCCTCCCCTGCGCCAGCACTGTGCGGGTTGCCCCAGCTCACTTGAGTGGGAGTCTTGCTTGAGGCATTAAGACACAATAGATACTAAATATCAAAGTGAGCTGTAAAGCAGATCTCTCGGCCCGGCACCTGTGGCTCAAGCAGCTAAGGCACCAGCCACATACACCTGAGCTGGCAGGTTCGAATCCAGCCCAGGCCCTCCAAACAATGACGGCTGCAACCAAAAAATAGCCAGGTGTTGTGGTGGGTGCCTGTAGTCCCAGCTACCTGGGAGGCAGAGGCAGGAGCCCAGGAGTTGGAGGTTGCTGTGAGCTGTGATGCCAGAGCACTCTACCCAGGGCGACAGCTTGAAGCTCTGTCTCAAAAAAAAAAAAAAAAGCAGATCTCCCCAGAGAACTTGCCTTGCCAATATTTCAGGGAGGAGGGTCAGAACTCACTCACTACAGGGCTCTGAAACTCAGACTGTGGGTGTGAAAGGGGGAGGGGTGCATTGAAAGATGATCTCTTCAGGCAGAGCGGCTGAGAAGAAAGTCCCCGCTTCTCAGCCTGCCTTTCACCTCCAGGGTCACAAGAGGAGCTTCGCATTTCAGGGGCCTTGAGCTGTGTCCCCTGTAGATGAAGTGCACACGGGGTGGGGGCTGACTAGGCAGAGGCTCACGGTGAGCTGCTGCCAGGCGGAGTGAGGAGGGCAGGTCGCTGCACTGAGGTGCACTCGAACTCGGAGAGGGCCTGTGTGAGTCTGGCAGTCTGGGTGGGTAGGTGGGCTCCCCAGGGGCAGGGCTGGCATGGGGGCTCTGCTGATGCCTCTATGCTGCAGCTTCAAACCAGGTGAAACCAACACTGACTCTAATGAGATCGCTGGCAGGTGCATCAGATGGGGAAGGAGAGGATAGGTTCCTAAAGTCATTGTCTTCTTAGCCCCTAAACCACCTCCCACACTCAGCGTGGTGATGCGGGGCAGAGACTGTCACCCACATTTCTCCTTTGCCACTGGCTGCCACTGGGAAGCTCTAGACAGGAAGACTGTGAGGCTGGAGGGAGAAGGAGGGATTTGTTCCTTCCTGTCCCTCTCGCAGCACCCCTCCTTCTTTGAGCTTGCACCAGGGTCCCTGTGGGTCGGAGACCCAGAGCTCTAGGAGGAGGCATTGCCCGCTGGTGGGCCCAGGACAAAGCTGGCTCTGTGTGTGGTGGGAAACTGCCATCTGGAGTTAGCTGCCACGGCAGGGGAAGAGGAGTGACTCCCTCAGTTACTGTTCCCGATACCTACTAGAGTGGAGATCTTCTTCTCCCTCGTGTAATTCTCGATGGCATTGTTGTTTGGAGCAAACACCGTGTAAGCATTGGCAGCCTCGATTGCACTTGCCAGGTTATAGTGCTGCAGTGGAAAGAGAGGAGAGGGCATGAGGGATTCCCATCCTAGGTAATCTGAGCAAGGCAGCTGGGCAGAGAACGTGGTACTTACAATGATGTAGCCCCGGAAGATGGAATAGTCAGGCATCTGCTCCAGCCGGGTGAGCAGGTTTGGTAAGGAGCCAGTTACACCTCTTTGGGGGACCAGAACCTGGGAAAGGAAACCCCCAAATTATGTTAGCACATCTTGGTAGGACTAATGGCTAGCCAATACATATGAAAGGCCCGTTAACCTCTTGAGGCAGTTAAAGTAATTGACATGGACAGCGTGATATAGCATGAGAAGGCTGGAGACTTGGAGATGTTGTTAATTCAATTTTATGTTTCATCCCGAAACCTCCCCAATTAGAGAAAATTTCATCTTGCACAAAAGGCTCCACCCCCTCCCTTGAGAAATCCAGCCCAAAGTTCATGAATCTACCCAGTCAGGGAAGACCCTGCCAATCTGACTGAAATGCGGCAGGTTGCGGTTAAAATTCCTCTTCTTTTGGTTGTTATTCTTTTGTATTTTCTTCAGAGTCTTCAAAAAACATTTTGTTTGGCTGATATAGTGTAATAAAAATAGAACATTTTAATGTAAAAATTTAGATGTCTGACTTCCTTTTAAAAACATCAGTCTAGACCAGCGTGATGGCTCACTTTGGGAGACTGAGGAAGGAGGATTGCTTGAGCCCAGGAGTTTGAGACCAGCCTGGGCAATACAGTGAGAACTTGGCTCTACAAAAACGAACAAACAAACAAAAAAACTTAAACATTAGCCAGGTGCAGTGGCATGTACCTGTAGTCTCAAGTTACTCAGGAGGCTGAGGCAGGAGGATCACTTGAGCCCAGAAGCTTGAGGTTACAATGAGCTATGATCACACCACTGAACTCCAGCCTAGGTGACAGAGTGATACCTTGTCTCCAAACTAATAATAATAATAATTATTAAAATGTCTGCATTTCATGACTAGTCTAAAAAAAAGTCTGCATTGTATTGTAGACAATACATAGCTGCAGAGAGGACCAGCAGCCATTTTCACCACAGTCCCTATCACTCCCTGATGCCTTTCTCATGGCTTCTTCACTCACTTTGTTATCCATCTGATCTACCTAGACATTAGAATTTGTAAGTCTTGTATAATTAAACTTCTGGCCAAGACAACTGTTGTTATCTTTTCATTCTACATAAAGCCTGATCAGATTGAAGAATCTAATACTGGAATATTTTTCTAATTTGATAAGTCTTCAACCAACATTTATCAGGTGCCTTCTACAGGCCAGGCAGGATACAAATGTTATGGAGGCCTAAATCACTTTTTTTTTTTTTTGGAGAGCGAGAGTCTCACTTTGTCACCCCTGGTAGAGTGCCATGGCATCATAGTTCATAGCAACCTCAAACTCGTGGGCTCAAACAATCCCCTTGCCTCAGATTCCCACATAGCTGGGACTACAGGTGCCCACCACAATGCCTGGCTACTTTTAGAGCTGGGGTCTTGCTCTTGCTGGGGCTGGTTTTGCACCTGTGAGCTCAGACAATCCACTGCCTTGGCTTCCCAGAGTGCTAGGATTACAGGCAGGAGCCACCATGCCCGGCCTGAGGCCTAAATCACTTTCTCAAAAATATTGTTTCTGAATGTCCCTTGGTAATACAGGAGGACTGCAAGATCTTGGCAAAGTAATGCACCCAGGAGTCTTATAAATAGCCCCTCTTTCCTGAAGAGAAATAGTTGACCTTTTTGTGACTTAAAATAAAAAAGTGAGTCTGTGAAGGCTCCTGAGAACCTTTAATTAAAAAACAATTGGTTAGTTGTTTTTTCCGATCTTCTGCCTTACAGAAGTTCCCAACATACCCTAAATACCCAACATACCCTCCAATCTTCTGCCTTACAAAAGCTCCCTCCATCTCCTGCTTGGAGATGCTCCCTTAAACCATAAAGGTAATACACGTGGCCACACTTGCTACAGGGCCTGCTACAGAATCCACGCTGGGCCGTTGAATGAATAGAGCCTCTGTATTTAAAATAAAAGTTCCAAAGCGCAATGCACATTACTTTCATATTAAGGCTGAGTATTATGTTCCACAAAAGACACGGTATCAGAGGACAGGTAACAAAGGGAGAGGACGTGCTCCGTGTATAGGAGGGTGGACCCGCGCACCTTGCTGATGATGTGTATCACTCCATTTGTGGCCACGTTGTCACCATCCACGATGGATGCCCCTTCGATGGTGATATTCTGTAAATGCAAAGCACAGTGGGAAGGTGAGTCCCCAGAGAGCACACTTGGGCATTGAACTTACCTCTGGGTTTTCTACTTTTTGAGCAGCAGTGACTTTCATACTTTTGGGCCGTGACCCAAGGCAAGAAATATGTTTGAATTGTTGTCCTTACACAACAAATACACACACGCACACACACACACACACACATATAAAATAGTGCTTTTCCTTACTGTGTGGGAGGAAGCCTGTTCCTCTATGCTGCTATACTCTATTTCATTAATAAAGTACTGTTTGAGGCTCATTAAAAGGATCCTGCAGTTTGAAAAACCATGCAGATCATGTTATGGGTTGACCTGTGTCCCCTTGGCCCTACCATTCCTATGCTGAAGTCCTAACACCTAGAACTGCAGAATGTGACTTTATTTGGAGACAAGGGCTTCACAGAGATGATCAAGTTACAATGAGGTCCTTAATGGTTAGCTCCTCCAGGGCAGGGGCCTTGATTGATTTGCCTTTGAATCTACACAGTCCGGCGTATGTCTGCCCAGGTGGGTGTTTAATTAATGTTTGCTACGAAAATCCATGATTTAAAACACCAATGGATTAGCACAACTGTAGGAATCACTTTATAATGGTACATGTGTATCAAAACACCGTGTTATACACTTTAAATATATGTGATTTCTGTGTTTAAAAACCAGTGGAAAATAACCCTAGTATCACCAGAATTATCATAAGATATAAAAACAGCCATATAATCATATATAACTATTTTCTGCTTTCTAAAGGAAATTATCTTTAATTCACACATATTTAGGTAAAACCAGGACACATCTTTTCCTAGTGCTCACACTGATGAATAAGCAGGTAGATATGACTTAGGGCATTAATTCCCAAACATTTTTGACTATGACCCCTGGTCTAGAAATGTGGCAGTTCTCACTTTCCAGTAGAATTTTTATTCTTGTGCAACTCATAAACACAGCTGTGAAACACTGCCACGTGCAACAGGGTAGCCAGATTTCCACATGGAATTCTGGATCTGAATCCTTGAAACACCGTAGAAAATACCAGGGGATGAGTTTCTCCAGGGGCTCGGCTCTTTTTTGGCCACTGCCCTGTCTCCAGCATCTAGATCTGAGCCTGCAGCACAGTGGATGTCCAATAAACATTTGCTGATTGATCCTAACTTAATATACAGTTTTAGTTACCTCTGAAGATTTACTTAGTAGGTTACTGATAACCAACTCTTAATGAATGACCAAAAGCAAAGTCGCGGAATTGCACATCCTTTCCTAGATCAGTCTGTGGTCTTCCGAGAAGAGCTGTGGCCAATCAGTGGGCAGAGGGATCAGTGCTTTAGAGTAATGTGTGCACATGTGTCTCTGTGTGTATCTATTTACTTATATATTTATGAATAATTTATGAATAATAAAATATATAT